GCTGCTAAGGGTGATGCAGGCCACAGCGTCGCGCGATCGCCAGGCAGTCAGGTCTGCACGCTGACGCGCAACACGCTCTCTGTCCGCAGTGGTCGCGTCAGGTCCTAGGGTAGCAGGAGCGGGGGGCGCGGGGAGTTCACCGGATGCGTGCGCCCATAGGGACTCATCTGCCTGAACCTGACTCTCTAGGAGACGCTGCGCACGCTGGAGCCAGACAGAGAACTCGAGGGGCCTACCCTTGGCGTCAAAGCGAAGGACCCTAGGGGCCACCATAGCGAAAGCAGAAGCTACAAGACCGGCAGGGCGCAGTGGCAGGCGTAAAGGGAAGACGCGGCAAGCGCAAGAACGCAGGCCCGTGGCGGGCTCAAAGGGCAGGCGCGGCGGGCAGGTAGGGCAGGGCCGCGGAAGGTTCTAAGGGCAGGCGGGGCGGCTGTCACGGGGAGGCCCGCGACGGGCGCAACGGGCAGGCGTGGCGGGCGGCACGGGTAGGGATGGCGGGCGGCGAGTGCAGGCCCGCGGCGGGCGCAAAACGCAGGTGTGGCGGGCGCAAGGGGCGGGCCCGCGGCGGGCGTAACTGACAGGCGCGGTAGGGGAGAACGGGCGGGCCCGTGGCGGGCCGAACGGGTAGGCGCGGCGGTGTGAAGGGAGAGGCCGCGGCGGGCCTAACGAGCAGGCGCGACAGCGAGCGTAACGGGCAGGCGCGGCGGCGCGAAGGCAGGGCCCGCTGCGGGCCTAACGAGCAGGCGCGACGGCGGGCGTAACGGGCAGGCACGGTGGCGCGAAGGGAGGGCCCGCGGCGGGTCGAACGAGCAGGCGCGGCGGCGGGCTAACGAGCAGGCGCGGCGGCACGAAGGCAGGGCCCGCGGCGGGCCTAACGAGCAGGCGCGGCGGCGGGCTAACGAGCAGGCGCGGCAGCGCGAAGGCTCGGGCGAGACAGGCGCGAGTAGGACTACGGAACGAGACAGGCTCGGGCGAAACGAACGTGGACGGGAGGAGCGGGAGGCTACAACATTTGACATAATGGTCCACCAATAAACGTATTTCCCCGGATAGAAGACCCTAGGGTCTTATGCTAAATCCCTAGAAAAAAGAGGGGAGGGGGGGGGGGGGGGGGGGGGGGGGGGGGGGGGGGGGGGGGGGGGGGGGGGTCTTAACAAAGGAAAAACAAATATACCACCCGGGTCTTTTCATACGGCATATTTTTTACTTAGTGTTTTGAACAGCAGCCCCCCCCCCCCCCCCCCCCCCCTTAATCATCTTCTACAGCAGGCCCTCAGATTCGTTTGGGGGTACACTGAGGCCTCAGGGCAGTTTTTTTTGGGAAATCAGAATTTGCCCTGAATTGTCAGGGCTGCACAGGGTGAGGTATCCTGAAATGTCAGTGCTACATTTCGTACAAGACTGTGTATTTTGCGAGTGTTATGTTAGCGGGGATAGAAATGCTGGAAATGTCTCCACATTCGAAGTGTGTGAGGGCGTGTTACATTTTTTAAAATTTTCGTCCGGATGGGCCACCGTCCGAACGACTGTGTGGTTACAAAACTCGTTAAATATCGGCAGTGAGTTCGTTAGAGTCTAAACGACGTCGCATGCTTCGTTTTGCTTACTTACGACATCATATTGGTCGCCACGCGACCGCGCGACGTCGCAATCTTCGCGCGCGTTCGGACTACCGTACGGACTTTCAGTGATTTTGAAAAATGTACGGTAACACGGCCTAATGCTGGGGCGCACCTGCAATGCAAATGGCTGGCAGTGGAAGTCGCGCGCAAATGCATTGTTATGAATTGATATAGTACAGTACAGCGTGAAGTGGCGGAGTGGGTGAAACGTCAGTCGTTATACAGTAGATCGTTAGCTCGATTTCTCCTGGCTCGATTTCTACTGAGGTGCTCACCCGTGTATGTCCCCGAAACCCAGGAGATTTTTCGTGCAGTACATCTCGCTTCAGGGCGAGACTCGACACTATCCTGAGTCGTCAGCGCTGAAACTACAGCGTTATCCTGAGTTTCCAGTACGCAAAATAACCATTATTCCGATTTTACAGGACAAGTAATTCCCTTATGCTGTTTTTTCAGGAGAAGCACACGACACCTATCCTGAATTCAGGAGAATCAGGATAATTATCCTGATATCTGAGGGCCTCTTCTACAGTAACATCAAAACAGTCCCCTCTTGCAGCTCAGCTGTCTCTGCGTCTTCACTTATCCATCGTTCGACCCCTCAACCACCCACTATCCCTCCCCTTCTGAGGCGCTTAAAAGGCTACAGTACAGTTGTTTCAAAACGGACCCCTCTTGTAGCTCAGCTGCCTCTGCATCTTCACCTCGGTATTATCCATCGTTCGACTTCTGGACCACCCACCATCCTTCCCCTCCCTCTCCCTCTCCCTCCCTTTCTCTTTCTCCTTCTCCTTCCCCTCTTTCTCCTTCCCTCCCTTCCCCTCTTTCGAATCCCTTCCAAACAGAGCAGCTTTCAGTGAAAAACTCATACTCTTGCTCATCTCTTTTCCCCCACTCCCCCCCTTCCCCAGATCTCTACTCGATGTGCTCTTAGTCACCTCTATCCTCCTCGTAGCTCCTGATGCACCCCCCTGCACCCTCTCTCCTCGCTCCCCTCGCTCCCTCGCCTCCTTGCTGCCTGTCCTCCCCTGCCCAAACCCTCCTCTGTCCGCGCTCCTCTTATCCCCCTTTTCACCCAACTTCCCCTCTCCTCTATCCATCGTTCGTGCGCGTACAAACCCACTATCACCACCCCCACCACCACTAGCTGCTGTACCCCTGGGGGTCTTAGGATTGTGTTCCCTGGGCGTCTTGGGAGCCATTTCTCCTGCTCCCTGGGCTCCTGCCCCTCGAGACCTTCTGTCCCGCCCCCCTCCTCCTCCCGACCCCTGCATTCCACCGTACTGTATCCCACCTGAACCATACGAATCCCCAAACTCATCAAAACGCTCTCTTCTTCCACTCCCTCCGCTCCCCCCTCCACTCCCCACCCCCCCCCCCTCCTCCTCCCCCTCCTCCTCCTCCTCCTCCTCCTTCTCCTCCCGCCTTCTTCCATCTCCCATGCACCGCTCTTACTTCGTCCTCGCACGCTCTTCGGTCCGCCGCCAATCCCCCCTGCTTCTCCCTGGGGAGTTGTAGGAACAGCAAGTTTCAGACTCAGCTGCCTCTTTAGACCTAGATTGCCGTACCCCTCCTGCCCCTCCCCCTTCCGCCCATCCCTTTCCCCACCTCGCGCATCTCCCCTCTCCATTCCCCCCCTCTCCATTCCCCCCCTCTCCATTCCCCCCCTCTCCATTCCCCCCCTCTCCATTCCCCCCCTCTCCATTCCCCCCCTCTCCATTCCCCCCCTCTCCATTCCCCCCCTCTCCATTCCCCCCCTCTCCCGTCTCCCCTCCCTTCCCCACCTTTCCTGGGGGTCCGAGCAACATCACCCCCATACCTCTTCCCCCTCCCTCCCTCCTCCTCGTCCTCCATAGGTCTCTGAAGTCTTCCCCTCCTCTCCTCCCGTCCCCCCTGTGCTTGCCCGCTCTTCCCCGAGGGCCCTGCTCCGCCCACACCAGCCTTTGCCTTCTCGCCTCTCCTCTCTTCCACTCTTCTCATGCTAAGAGATCTCACATTCGTCTGTACATCTCCATCCTCGATATAAGCTTCCTCGACCTGGTCGTCAAAGGCCACACGCTGCTTGCGCCTGGTAACCGCTTCTCCTGCTGCTACTGGTGCTTCATCCTGCTGGTAACCGTACTGCTGGTTTTGGAGCTGCTGATGCTGCTGCGGCTGATAATTCTGAGGGTACTGTTGATTCGGTTGTTTGGCTCGTCTCGGAGTAACAGGATCGTATCTTGGAGTCACAGCATCATATCTTGGGGTTACAGGATCATATCTTGGAGTTACAGGATCATATCTTGGAGTAACAGGATCATATCTTGGAGTCACAGGATCAAATCTCATCTCACTCACCCCCCCACCAGACACATGTCGCGGTGTGATTGGCTGATGGTTTCCCCCTATAGCCTTTTTCAAGCGTCCGGGGGTAGTGGGAGGATACTGTTGCTGTGCCGCCGCCGCTGCTGCTGTTGCTGCTGAAACTGCCAGTTGCTGCTGCTGTTGGTAGTTTCCCCTTCCCTCCTGCCCACTCCCATTCCCTCCTCTGCCTCCACTCCCCCCAAGAGAACGACCAGGAGTGATAGGAGGGCAATAGACCTCCTCCTGCTGCTGCTCCTGCTGCAGCTGCCCGAAACCATCCCCGGGCATGGTTTGGAACTGAATGGACTTTTTACCTGCCCGCCGGGGTGTTACAGCAGGCAAGCTACCCTGCCCGTACGTCTGGGCAGGGGAAAGGCTCTCTTGGGGTGGATCAGGGGGTGGTGGTGGTTGTAGTACGGTATTGGGCTTTGCATGGGTGGGGTTTGCTGTGAGTTGTATGGCTGCTGTTGCTGTTGCGGGTGATAGTAGGGCTGCGATCCGTGAGAATATGCCTGCTGGGTGTCTTGGGGATACTGGGAATACGGTTGCTGCTGCTGCTGCTGCTGGGAAAACGACTGCTGTTGCTGCTGCTGCTGGTCATACGAGTATGCTTGCTGCTGCTGCCGCGGATCAACAGACTGCTGCGAGAAAGAGGTTGAGGGGTCGGATGGCTGAGAGTAAGAGTTGAAAGCATCTGCATACTGTTGTTGCTGCTGCGAGTAAGACTGCTGCGAGTAATGTTGTTGAGAGTCCTGCTGCTGGCCCTGTGGATAGGGCTGCTGCTGCTGCTGCTGCTGCTGTTGTTGCTGCTGCTGCGGTAAGTGTGGCCGGGAGTGAGGATGATAGTCATCGTCATACCTATCCCCATACCCATCTCCATACTCATCTCCAAACCCATCCCTCATATCATTCCCAAACCCATCCTGCATGCCGCTGTTCCCATACCCATCCCTGAACCCAGTGTCTTGGTCGTGTGTATCCCCGTATGCATCATCAAACCCAGTGTCTGGGTCGTGTCTGGTTTGGTAGTCATGCTCATGCCACTCGCCACCACCACCATTGCTTGCCGCTGCTCCCTGTAATCCCATTCCCTGTTGCTGCTGCTGCTGCTCCTGGTAATGCTGCTGCTGCTGCTGCTGATGCTGCTGCTGCTGATGCTGCTGATGCTGCTGCTGTTGCTGCTGGTACCCATACTGACCATACTCCCCACGCTCACCCCATACGTCCCCCTCACCCACCCCACCACCCTTCCCCCATCCGCCCCCTTCCCCCACACTCCCACCCTCCTCGGCTCGTCCCCCCACCCCTGACTGCTCGCCCCCCCATCCCTCATCATCCGAACGTTGCCCCAACCGCGTCCGCCCCACACCCCCTCCCCCTCCCCCTCCCCCTCCCCCTCCCCCTCCCCCTCCTCCTCCTCGTCCCCCCTCACTCGCCCCTGATCCCCTTCCTCCACCCATCCCCCTCCCCGCTCCACCTCTCATTCTACCCCTCGCACTGCCGTCACTCTCCCCTCCACTCCCCACACCATCCCCACCAGAACCAACCCGTCCCATCCTCTGCCCCTTACCCACCCTCATACCAGCACCACCAGCACCAGCACCACCACCGGCACCCGCAACAGCACCAATCCCAGCAGCGGGACCACCAGCAACAGCAGCAGCGGATTGGAGAGTGGCTGGGGCCGTGGCACGGGCAGCAGGGCGGGCAAGGGGAGTGGTGGGCAAGGGAGCAGGCAAATCGGGTCCCCTAGGTTGGTCATCCGACCAACCACCCCCAGCGGGAACCAGAGCGATGGCTCGCGCGGTAACCGCACCTGCCACCTGCGATTCGTCACACTCTTGCTCCTCCTCTTCCTCCTCTTCCTCCTCCTCTTCCTCCTCCCCCTGCCCCCTCTCCTCTTCCTCCTCTTCTTCCCCCTCCCCCCCATCCCGATGCGACGAGTACCGGCCAGACCCATCCCCAAGCGATAAATATCGACCCGACCCCTCCCCCTGCGATGAGTATTGACCCGACCCATCTCCATGCGACAAATACCGGCCAGACCCGTTCCCATACGCTGGCCCAGTCACATCAAACGACCCGTACATATCACTCACCTGTCCTGCCCTATGCCTGCCCATCGCCCCTCCCATCGCCCCTCCCATCGCCCCTCCCATCGCCCCTCCCATCGGCCCTCTCATCTGCCCGCCTACCTCCTCCTCCCCTACGTGCTCCTCCTGCCAGGCTCCTCCACCCACTCCACTCGCATACCCCTCCCCCTCCCCCTCCCCCTCCCCCTCCCCCTCCCCCTCCCCCTCCCCCTCCCCGTCCCTGCCATACTCCTCCCCTCCGTATTCCCCCACTGTATGCCCCTCTTCTCCGTAACCCCCATCACCATACTCCCCCTCTCCATACTCCCCCTTCCCATACTCCTCTTCCCCATAACCCCTGTCTCCATACCCCTCTCTCCCGTTCTCTATTGAATGGGTAGTCTTCTCCATACATGTCCGCACCCCCTTTTCTACTCCTCCTCCTCCTCCTCCTCCTCTTCCTCCCCCCCCTCTTCCTCCTCTTCCTCCCTCTCCCCTCTCTCTCCTCTCCCCTCTCCCCTCCCCCACGTCATCATCATCATCATCCTCCTCTCTCTCCCATTCCTTCAGCCGCGAAGCACATTTCTCTGCCCATCGCGCCTTCTCATCCTCCCCTCCCCCTCCCACCACCCGCATCCCATCACGCACCAATAGCGGTGCGGTCCCCTGTGCGTGTCCCTGTACGGTCCCCTGTGCGTGTCTTTGCTGTTTAACCTCCTCCTCCTCCTCCTCCTCCACCTCCTCCTCCTCCTCCTCCTCCTCCTCATCCTCCTCCTCCTCCTCCTCCTTCTCCTCCTCCTCCTCCTCCTCCTCCTCCTCCTCCTCCTCCTCCTCCTCCTCCTCCTCCTCCTCTCCTCCTCCTCCTCCTCCTCCTCCTCCTCCTCCTCCTCCTCTCTCTCCTCTCTACCCCCCCCAAAACCTCTGCTTCCACCTCTCCCACCCACCCCCAACCCTTGCCCGCCATACCCGTCATAAGCATCTTCGTTGTACTCGTTATAGTCAGCATCACCATATACTCCACCATTTTCAAAAGACTCGTCTTTTAAATTCCGAGTCCTTGTCCTCCCCTCCTCTTCCTCTTCTTCTTCTTCCTCCTCCTCCTCCTCCTCCTCCTCCTCCTCCTCCTCCTCCTCACCTCCGCCCTTCCCCCTTTCCAAACCTCCCCCCTCCTCCTCTTCCACCACTCCCCATTCCTCCCCTTCCCTACCACCCCCACCGAATAAATCGCCATCGTCCCGCCCTTTATAAGCACTCCCCTCACCTCCACTTCCCCCTCTAGACCCACGCTTCCCAGCCTCACGCACCCCTGTCTGCCCCTCGTTTCTGTCACGGAATTCATAGTCACCCCCACTAGCTTTACGGCCATTTTCATAGTCACCTTCCTGCTGCTCCCAGATCGCATCCCCACCATCCATATCCCTGCTCGGGTGAGCAGGAGCATTCTCAATATTTTCACCTTCGTTATATGCACCCTCCACACGTCTCCGCCCTTTTAATCCACTGCCAGTTACCAAGGCAGGGGCAGAAGCGACCGGAGCAGGAGGAGGAGCGGAAACAGCAGCTGGAGCAGCAGCGGGAGCAGGGGGAGGAAGAGGAGCAGCAACGGTAGGATCAACTACAGCTGCTGTTTCAAGCCACGCGTTAACCTTTCTCACTGGCCCTCTTAACCACGGATCCAAGTGCTCCTCTGCTGCGAAGTCCCCACCCTGCTGCTTCTCCTGCTCCTGCTGCTGTTCCTGCCGCTGCTTATGCTCTTCTAACTGCTTTTCGTCTAAGACCTGTACACCACGTCCTCGTTTGAAGATGCTCTGTCTTAGCGCATCCGGATGCTGGTTAGGGTAGTTTCCCACCGGTGTAGAGATAGAGTAACCTAACGGAATGTCGTCCCACTCGTTATTAGGCTTCGGGACGTCTTCTATCGGATCCACAACCTCTCCCACAACAGCACAGCTGTTATCCGCGTTACAGACTTCACTGCTAGTAATCACCCGAAGCCTGCCATCCCCGCTATTGAACTCCTCTTCTCCGGATAACCCTACGTCGACTCCCTCCTCCTCCGCTTCTCCGCTCTCCTCGTCCCTTAAATACTCCACGTCGTTATAACTATCCCTGTGTCGCCCCCGTCCCCTCTCCTTGTATCTTTCACCCGGACCCCCTCTTGAAGGCTCCTCGGTGCTTCTGCTTCTTGCAACAGCTTGCTGCGTCGACGCTTTTACTTTGACCTTCCTTCCTTTCTGCTGTTTCTGCTGCTGCTGCTCCTGCTGCTGCTGCTGCTGTTGGTGCTGTTTCATCTGCTCGTGCCACGTGTCATGAGGATGACCGTACAGTTCGTCGGCAGGATTATCATAGCCTGATTGATCATAAACGTTACTCTCGTACGCGTAGTCATCGTGAAACCCAGCATGTTCATGCTCATGCGAACCATCCCCCATCGCGTCCCGCGTTCCGTACTCGTTATAGTCAGCTTGCAAATCGTACTCATTGTAACGATCCTCGGACGGAAACGCGTCCATCGCAGCGGGTTCTGCGGCGAGCGCTAATGCTGGATGATGCGGTTTAGAAGTTAAGTGTGCGGAGTTGTGTGCTACTTCCATGCGTTCACCTAGACCGTCAGATTCGCTTTAGAATACGTAACGTGACTTGCATTGGTGTCAGACTGATAAAGACACATGCCACTGGATAGAATCAATAATAATGAGGGCTATTCAAAGGTAGTGGAAAAGGTCACGACGGCAGACAGGTAAATTCAATGTGGTAAGAAGGGGTGTGCGGGTTTTTAGGAACCGCGATTAGATTAACTACCTATTAGAGTTACCTATTTTAGTCGACACTCCAACTGCTATGGCTTGACAGTGACGTCACCCATCTGGGGTTGGTGGTGGTGTCTCGTCAGAGTTTGAAGGCGGCTGATGTTGTCCTTTCATCCACCTGCCCGACAACGGACGGATGTGCAAACGTTCACGAAGAACTGTATGCTCTACAGGTTTTGTAGAAATCAAAGCATCACTTTTAGCGACAACTCCTACCCGCAAAATTGATGTCTCCACAGTAAGTGCGTCACGAAACGACACAATTTGTGTCCATCTGTCAGAGTACGAAATGGGGTGGTGCCCGCCCACGGTAATGTCGAACTCGCATGGTGTGTATTTCCGATACAGTACTCTCGCCAAACTGGTTCCGACTGGAAACTGAGAGCTTGCTAAGAATATGGAGCTAGAAAATATGTTCATCTAACTTGGCCTTATCGCCAACAAATGCATAACTCAGCCTTAAGTTATCTAGAGACAAATCAGCCTTCAGCTCCCTTCTGCTGCATCGGCCTCCCTCTTTTCCACCTCCTTTTCCACAACAGTCGCAACAAAATCCTCATCGCCCATTTCCGCCACCGACACGCCCATCACAACGCTCCACTCCACCACCCTCGCCAGCGCCGGCGGATCAACCGCCAGACCTCCCCTCTCTAGCGCCCGAATCGCCGCCGCCACTCGACAAATCCTCTCCCGTTCCTCCACACCCACAACCGTCTCAGCCACACCTTTCCCACCACCACTACCACCATAACCCCCGCTAGCCCCTTCACCCGCGGTCCCAGATGAGCCAGATGGGGAGGTGGAGGGCGGCGGTTGGCCAACCCATAACCAGCCGTTGCAGCCAAAGACAAGGAGTGGGCCAGTGGGCGAGAGCATGTGGAAATGCTGCTTCAGGCGCCTCACGAGGTACGGGGGGACGTGTACTAGCAGACCGCCTGACAACTGCAGGGGAACATTGCATGGGAAATGGGTGCGTGCAAGAGACAAAAACAAGGAGACGGCCAGAGGGCGAGAGCATGTGGAAATGCTGCTTGAGACGTCGCACGAGGTATGGGGGGACATACACGAGCAGACCCCCTGACAACTGCAGAGAAACAGTGCATGGGGGATGGGAGCAAGAAGACTGCTTGAGACACCACTGGACTGGAAGTACGAGGGGACGTGCACAAGCAGATGGTCGGCAGTCGACTCCAGTATGTGTTCAGCCATGATACAAAGCAAGGCATGGCACAAAGCACAACACAGCAGTCTATTTTTTAGGCGCCTCAAAAATAGATGGTCGGCAATCCCCTCCAGTGTGTGTTCAGACATGGGATGGCACAAAGCACAACACAGCAGTACCTTGCCGTATTTATCGCTGCGGGTGTGCAGCACCACCGAGCCATCATGGAACACACTCTGCACCTCTGCCTGTGGGTGGGGAAGTAGAGGAGGACACATGATATGTCCAAGTATGTATACATATACTTAAATATATCTACATATAGAATGATGTATCTAAGTATGTAAAAAAATGTAAATTTTTGAAAGTGTGTAACACTTTCTAAAATTGTGTATTGTGAATAGCGAAGATATTTGTACCGAAGCAAAATGCTTCGGCGAACCGCTACTTCCCCTCTTTTTCGGTATAAAAGAGGGGGCGAAGGCCATTTGGCCTTCACCCACGTTTTTCATTTCAAACTTTCAGTTTTCAAGTTCTTGATTTTTTTCGTCCAAGCTGGCGAGGACTAAGAGCCTTCCTCGCTTCACTTCTCCATCGACGCTCCTCTCCGACATCCTCGACCGCAACCTTTCGACTATGGCGCCGACGAACAACAATAGCCCCGGGGCTAAGGACGCAGCTCCTCGACCTTCTTCGGGGCTTGAGAAAACGACTCGGGAAACCGGCGCGGAGAAGCGAAAACGCCCCACCGAGGAAAACGCCGAGGGCCCCAGCACTGGGGTGGACGTGCTGCTCGGCGAGGGCGGCGGCACACGCTCGCGCGCTCCCCAGCCACGCGCGTCCCACGAGCAGGCTCATGGGCCTGCAGTCGCCAATGATGACGACTTCGTCGTCATCACTGGCGCTGACGCGGGAGGATCGCGCGCCACCCCAAAGCGGAGGGCGACGGATTCGCCTGCAACCGAAGGGGCGGCGGCGAATCTTTCGCCCTCACAAGTGGCGGCACTGCTGGCACTTCTCCAAAAGCAGGCCGCGGCCCCCGTTACAACGCCAGCAGCTACAACAGAAGCGGAAAATTTCGCTTCCGCTAAAACTGCAAACATCCGCAACAACGTCGCCACTTCCGCGAGAATCGCCGCATCTCACCGCGCCGACAAGGGAAAGGCGCCAGCCGTCGAAGATGAACCCGCTGCACCCGACGACGCTGATTCCGACTCCGACAGCGATGCGGGTGAGGAACCAAACAATCCTATGCCCCTCGTGCCTAATGATCTCCTCCCCCCTCTCCCCTCTCCTCACCCTTCCACCGCGGCCGCCGCCTTCAACCGCAAAGGCGTCCGTGACCAGGCGGAGGTGTTCGAGGCGCTTCAGACTTACCTGAGAGGCACACGTGGAACACAAGATCCGCGGAGGCGACGCCGCCGGTGCTCTTAAAACCGTCGGTCAAGCTCAAGACCTCATCAAGCGCCGCTTCGACGTCTTGGTCGTCGCCGACCATGCCGGGTTCGACGTGGCTGAGCGCTACCAGCTCCTCAAGACTACGGCGGTGCTCACCTCACGCTCCTTCAAGATGGCGGTGGCGGATATGGCAGCCCTCAAGCGCATGAAGACCGGCTTCTCCCGCGGGAGCCGTCCGTTTCCCCGCGACTCCCCCCACTTCGTGCCAAAGACCATGGGCAGCGGCAACGGCTGTCGGGGCTTCAAGGGAACCTGTTTCCGCTGCGGCCAGAATGGCCACATGGCTAGCGCATGCCCCCATGGAGGCCATGGGGGCAATGGGCCCGCACCGGTGGTGTGAGAGAGGCCCTAAGCAACCTCGCCCTCCCATCTCCCCGCACCCAAGGTTCTCATACCTTGGCTGCCTTTGATGGAGGGTGGGGGAGGGCTGGGCCGGGTGTGGACCAGGGGTCCTTGGTAGTGGCTGCTTAGCCCAAGGCTAGAGGCATGGAGTGCCCTAGGCTGTTTGTGTACGTGTGTATGCATGTGTGTGCGTTTTTACGCAAAGCCCGGGTGGCTATGAATTTGTATTTCTAATTATAATGGAATGTTGCTCAGTACATTGGCCTTGGAGATCCAGCCTTATGACAAGTTATGTCACCAAAAAAAAAACAACAAATGAGGAAGAGAGAGAGAGAGGGAGAAGGGTATGGGAAGGCAACGACCAACACAATAGCATGAGAAAGTCACAATGCTTCGCATGGCAAGGCATAGCGAGTTCCCGTTGGACAATAGTGCCTGTTGTTACCAAACCATCCAGCTGACATGCCTTGCGAGAGAGAGAGAGAGAGAGAGAGAGAGAGAGAGAGAGAGAGAGAGAGAGAGAGAGAGAGAGAGAGAGAGAGAGAGAGAGAGAGAGAGAGAGGAGAGAGAGAGAGAGAGAGAGAGAGAGAGGGAGAGAGAGAGAGAGAGAGAGAGAGAGAGAGAGAGAGAGAGGGAGAGGGAGAGGAAGAAGAACAAAGAGAAGCGCGCGCGTAACGCGCATGGACCCTCACTTGAACGGTTCTCACTTTGACACCCACAAAGAGGGGTGATACATGTTGTATCCAACAGGCTCTTAGCCGCACCTCACTCACGTGCACTCGCAACCTCATTACCCTTATCAAAACCACGAGGTGCATGTCGTTGTGCGTGAATTACCTGCTCATACGTGCGCGCTGATACATATCACGCAATTTAACGCCATGGTTCGATCCTGTACCTCTGCCATCCCGCAACCAAACACCCCATGGCAGCCGCCACGCCTTCATGGTCGGAGGAGCAGGACGAGATCTTGGCAAATGCAGTCACCGATCGTGATGTCACAACCATGGGTGGTCGCCTCCGACAGGCGTTCGCTTGGTGGGCTTCCTGGTGCGAGAGCTCCTTGATCCTGTCGGTCATTGTCAATGGATATTGGCTTCCTTGGAAGGCATTCTCACCACCGCCGTTCCATGATCAAAATCACGCCGGAGTCTTGAAGCACACCGACTTCACCCGATCGGCAATTCAGGAATTGCTCACGTCAGGAGCAGCAGCAGTTGCATCTAGCTCATCGGCCGTTACATGCATCAGCCCACTCAACGTTGTGGAACAACGCAACAAGTGCCGCCTCATTCTCGACTTGCGAAAGGTCAATCAATACCTAATTGTCCCCAAATTCAAGTACGAAGGACTTCTTCGTGTCGCTGAACTGGCGAAGCCGGGCGACTGGATGTTCTCGGTTGACTTAAAGTCTGGCTATCATCACATCGATATTCACTCATCTTGCTGGTCATTTCTAGGTTTTCACTTTGAAGGCACCGACTATGTTTTCAAGTCGTTGCCGTTCGGCCTCGCTACAGCGCCCTTCCTGTTCACCCAGTTGATCAAGCAGTTGGCACGGAAATGGCGAGCGCAAGGCATTCGGGTCATACCCTATGTGGACGATATATTGTTCCTTTGCGACTCGGAACAGGACGCTCGTTTGAAAAGTGGTGCAGTCATTCGAGACCTCAAGGAGTCGGGGCTCGTCATCAACGCAAAAAAGTCGCACCTGATCGCGACTCAAAAATTGCACTTCCTCGGAATGGAGCTGGACACCGCATCCGGGAGATTCACTATCGGCCAGGAGAGAAAGGCGCAACTCACACAAGCACTACATGTACTGCTTCTCACCTACGAGCACAACCAGCGGGTATCAATCCGCCTCGTCGCCCGCGTCACTGCCATCCTTGCATCCATGGCGCTCGCCCTTGGTGCGACGGCACGCTCTTTCAGCCATCAACTTTTGACACTCATTAATGAGGCGCCATCATGGAATGCACGAGTGACCCTGACCTCGGAAGCTCGCGACGAGCTACAATTTTGGCTTGACCACTTTGACCGTTTTAACGGGGCCCCGTTTCACATGCCCCACAGTCTGGATACAGTCATTTACGTCGACGCTAGCGCACACAGTTGGGGTGCAACCCTTTCATCCTTCCCCGGCGGAAGCTCGCAAGGAAGCAGCCCCATGCCAAAAGAACTTCTCTCCACATCGAGCACACGCCGAGAGCTCGAGGGAGTGCTATGGGCACTGCAGACGTTCAAGGACCAGATCCAAGGTCGCCGCGTACTCATGCGAGTAGACAACCAAGGCGTCTTCTTCATTCTGCGCAAAGGCGGCTCTCGCCAGCCTGAGCTCACTCTTCTGTGCAAGGCCATCGTCGCAATTTGCATGGCGCACGAAACCCGGCTGGCCGTCGAATGGATTCTACGTGCCCTCAATGCACATGCAGATGCACTGTCCAAATTGGAAGACCACGACGACTACTCGCTCAAGCTCCCCTGGTTTCGATTATTGGAAAGGCGTTGGGGATCACACACCATCGACCTATTCGCCAACGCCAACAATGCACAGCTCCCGCGCTTCTGCTCTAAATATCCGCACCCACGTGCAACTGCCATAAATGCATTCTCGCTCGATTGGGGATTAGAGCACGGCTTCGCGTTCCCGCCGCCGAACCTCATCCCAGCAAACCTGCACCATGCCGCACGCACGAACGCCACGATGACACTAGTCGTTCCCGAATGGACAGGCGCTGCTTGGTGGCCCCTAATCAGACCTTCCCCACACACCTGGGCAATCGGCATCTCCTCCATCCTCTACCTTGCTAGTGGTAGTCAATGCTTGCATGTGGGCTCCCATGAACATGCATTCTCGGGTGCTGGTCTTCCAGTCAGTCGTATCTTAGCACTGAAAGTCAATTACAAACCTTGATGTACCATTCTTGTATCCTATGATTACAGATATGCTTCCAAGGTTGCATCACCAGCTACTTCTTATGACAGCCAAGACACGATCGGAATCAACAATCAACACATACGAACCGTACTGGGAGAAGTTTCGCAGCTTTTGCATGAAGGCCAAAGTGGATTTCTTGCCTGCCGCAGATCTCACGCTTGCACTCTACTTAGTGCACGCAATCAACCACCAGGCCACAGTCTCCAGCGTACAGCTCACATGCGCTGCAGTCAGCTTTGCCCATCGCATGACAGGGTCAGCCAACCCAGCGAACGGCCCGTTCACAACGCAAGTCCGAGAGTACGCCAAACGACACTGCCCTCGGCCTACACGAGTGAAAGAGCCTGTCTCCCTTCATCAAGTCCAGGCAATGGCGGGACCTTTTCTCCAGTCAAGCGAACCCGGCACCTACCAGAAGGGCCTCATCGTGCTGCTCATGTACTCGGCCTTCCTTCGCTTCTCGGACCTGGTATCAATCCAGTGGGAGGACATCCAGTTCGAGGCTACGGCAATGTGGCTCCTAATTCCACACTCAAAAACCGATCAGGAGAGCAAGGGCGTATGGGTCCCCGTTGCCGCGACTGACGGACCATTCTGCCCCGTGCGGTGCACCAGGCACTTCATCAAGCTGGCACAGTACAGGCCAAAGACCAAGGGCCCGTTGATTCGTATTTTTCGACGCAACCCCCCGCCATCCTCGCAGGATACCGCCCCATCATACCCCACTGTCCGCACGTGGTGCTTGCATGCATTCCAAGCAGTTGGCATCGACCCTACAAACCTCGGCACCCATTCATTCCGCAAAGGGGCAGCAACAGTTGCAGCGAGCACGGGCATCACGGACCGCCTTTTCAAAAGACTGGGGCGATGGCGGAGCGAAACCGCGAAGGACCTTTATGTCACCATCTTACAGGATCACCTCCTTGCTGCGTCGCGGCGCCTTCACGATCAGGCGCACGTTCCGTCCCCCTCGCAGCATGAGCGTGCCCTTACTCGACACCGCCAACAAGCACTCACCATGTCTCAGAAAACCCAGTTGAAATGAGACGTTGCATTTGCAAAGACAAATAGCAAGCTTTCACAATATGTAAATTTTTGAAAGTGTGTAACACTTTCTAAAATTGTGTATTGTGAATAGCGAAGATATTTGTACCGAAGCAAAATGCTTCGGCGAACCGCTACTTCCCCTCTTTTTCGGTATAAAAGAGGGGGCGAAGGCCATTTGGCCTTCACCCACGTTTTTCATTTCAAACTTTCAGTTTTCAAGTTCCCCACCCTCCCACCCTAGTCTAGTAGAGAATTCATCGTTTTTATCATGTAAAATGCTTGGACGATAAAAAATCTTGTACTTGCCAGTTGAAATGAGACGTTGCATTTGCAAAGACAAATAGCAAGCTTTCACAATATTATACACTCTATGTAATGGACTGGATGATTCAAACTCACACCTGTTACACACCAAGAACACAGCACCCAGAAAGCACCAGTGCATGCGAGAAAGAGAAATTGCTCGCCGTGAGTGAGCCCATTAATCCCAAATACCACACACACAAACAACAAAGCATAGCCAAAACTTAGAGCTCTAGCCGCCACGACAAGTCCCCCTCCACATAGTTGTTCCGCTTGTTCAACGCATCCACCGCCGTGACGTGAAGTGAGGCAATCAAAAGCCGCCTCAAAGACAGATTCTTAAGACGCATTAAGAGTGTTTAGAGCTGATCTACTCACCGTGACAAGGTCCCCCTCCACATAGATGTTCCTCATGTTCAACTCATCCACTGCTGTGCGCCGCCTCTGGTAAAAGCCAGGGAAACCCAGGACAATAGAGAATAAAAGGAAAGGGTGGGAAAAGAGAGGGCCAACAACACTGGAAACAAACAAACACAATCGCTGTTGACAAGTAAGAATTAGAATAGGCTTCGTCTGTACCACCCCGTTACAGATGCTCGTTCGAGTTTTTCAATACCTCTGCCTTGTGCTGGTTGATAGAGGTCTCACCTGAGCACCCCCCGGCAGGTTGATAGCGGAGAGCATGAGCTGAGCCTCATGCGCCGAACCCACAGCCAGCTTCCACCTCTTGGGGGCACGGTGCAACACCACCTCCTCCCCTACCACCCCCTCTTTACCGCCTGCCCTTCTCCTCACCCACGCCTTACCGCCTGCGCACCCCCACCTGCGCCCCCCCTCTCTCTCACCTGCGCCCCCCCTCTCCCTCACCTGCGCCCCCCCTCTCTCTCACCTGCGCCCCCCCTCTCTCTCACCTGCGCCCCCCCTCTCTCTCACCTGCGCCCCCCCTCTCTCTCACCTGCGCCCCCCCCCCCCTCTCTCACCTGCGCCCCCCCTCTCTCTCACCTGCGCCCCCCCTCTCTCACCTGCGCCCCCCCTCTCTCTCACCTGCGCCCCCCCTCTCTCTCACCTGCGCCCCCCCTCTCTCTCACCTGCGCCCCCCCTCTCTCTCACCTGCGCCCCCCCTCTCTCTCACCTGCGCCCCCCCTCTCTCTCACCTGCGCCCCCCCTCTCTCTCACCTGCGCCCCCCCTGGTAGGTTAATTGCGGAGAGCATAAGCTGCGCTTCATGTGCCGACCCCACAGCCAGCTTCCACCGCTTTGGTGCGAGCTCTGTCACTCGGCCCACCACCACGTCCCCTGTCTGCGCCACATACCTGGAGTGTGGGGAGAGAGGGAGGCAAGAAGGGGAATGGGGGGAGGGTGTTTATTTCCACAATTGCAGTGTGTGCCCCACAGCCAGCTTCCACCGCTTTGGTGCCAGCTCTGTCACCCTCCCCACCACCACGTCTCCCGTTTGTGCCACGTACCTGGGGTGTGGGGAGGGAGGGGGGGGGGGGGGGAGGAAGGAAGGAAGAAATGGGGGGTTGGGTGTTTTGTCTCAAGTGCAGAGCCCCACTGTCAACCGCTTGGGGGCGAGCTCTGTCACCCGCCCCACCGCCACGTCCCCTGTCTGCGCCACACACCTGGAGTGTGGGGAGGAGAGGGGAAGAAGGTGGGTTGGGATGTCATGGTCCACAGGTGCATTGCCATTCGTTTCACCGCCTGGTGGCGAGCTCCGTGGCGTCCATCTCCTGTCTGCGCCACTTACCTGTAGTCAGCCCTTAAATCCCGTGTAACGAAGCCAGGGAGTTCTGTTGCCGTCTCTGTTGCCCCGTTCATATGCTTCGTGGCCTGTATCTGTCTCCCCATGAAGCACATCACATGACATGACATGACATGACATGACATGACATGACATGACATGACATGACATGACAGGACAGGACACGGCACGACACCAGACGATGCGACATGATATGACATAACGTAACGTGACATTGAATTCACATCACAATGCATGACAGCAAAATGCAAAGCACCAGGTGGTTGATGCGCTTCACCACACATGCCATTCACGCACGCACACATAGACATGCCATGACCGCACACACACACCGGAACCCACCACAATGCACCGCAGCGCACCAGGTTTTGAGTGGTTGCACGGAGAGCAGGCGGTTGATTCGCTTCACCACGCCGCACACCGTGGCGCACACCTGCCCCTCCTCGCCCTCCCTCGTGCCATGCCCCCTGCCAATTCCATCCAGGCGTACAGAAAGGGAGGAGGAGCAGCGCAGAGCAGCAGCACCATTGTTAGCTAAAAAGTGTTTGAGTGATTGCAGACGCAGTGAGCATCTCACGGAAGCATATATCACCTAAGGCATTACTTGAGAAGGGTTCTACCTGAGAAAGCTGAGGACAGCGTTACCTAAGGACGATGTTACCTGACAAGGGTATAACTTGAGAAAGCTGAGGACGGCGTTACCTGAGGACGGTGCTACCTGAGGACGGTGCTACCTGAGGACGGTGTTACCTGACGGTGTTACCTGAGGACGGTGTTACCTGAGGAAGGATGCATCGGCGCCGATGGGAAGCGCGTCTCCGACGGCGACGATCGACGACGGCCGCACGCTCGAGTCGAGCTAGACAGGGAGGTGTTAACTGAGTAAGGTGCTACGTGAGAAAGGCATTACCTGAGGAACGATGCATCGGCGCCAATGGGAAGGGCGTCACCGACGGCGACGATGGACGACGGCCGCACGCTCGAGTCGAGCGCGCGGAGTCGCTGCAACGCGGCGTCTAGTCGCACCTCCGCCGCGCTGTCGCGCGCAAACCCTAACGACATCGTCACTCGTCGTTTGATGCTCGCCCTTTGTCGCTCCTCGGTCGTCGAGTCGCAGGTGCAATGGATCGTGCTTGAAGAATGAACTGCACCAATGACACAGCGAGGACTGTGAAATGAGCGAGGTAAAGTTTTCCCGCAAAAACACCAACTGTTTGTCACAAACACAAACCGCTGTGCCTTCCGCTGCCCCCAAAATCTAGGCTGATTTTTCAAAATAGTGGCAGGGGGTAACCCGGACATGCTTTGCGAAGATTACTGGAGCTGGCGAGCGATTTTGCTTGGAGAGTTGGCTGGACTACGATAGGCGATTGGTCGCGAACAAGAGAGTTTCTGTGGTGATCGTTGATAAACTATAACGAAAGGGTATAAATAATATTTAAGATAAAAATATCTCATCCTAGAAAATAATACGAAACCTTCTTACAGAGTTGCGCTTCATGTAAAATTGCATTACGGATTGATGCACATGTGGTTTAATGAGTCATGGTACCATAGTTTATGGCTCTTCATCCGAGACACCTTCGAATCGTAGCCTGAAAGAGATGGGAACCGTGAGATAGCAAATGGAGAGATGGTAAACGAGGGAATCCCGTTGCACGTGAATGGTTATAATTAGAGCAGTGGTGGAGGGGAAGGGAAGAAGGGGAAGTGGGGAGAGGGGAGGCTCACACAATGCGGAGATTAACAAGGGTATAGATGAGGATGGGGAGGAGTGTCAAATGGAGGCAAGCGCTGCTGCTTAAAGTGCTGTTATTGTGAAGTGTTGAAGCTGCTAGCACAACCCACCTGCGATCCAGTTATTGTGTAGAATCACACACCCTCTTCTTTCACACTCCTCCCTTGCACTTGCACTCCCAGCAGATACCACCTCCCCCTGGCCAACAGCACCAGATACCACCTCCCCTTGCCCACTGCCAGCATCTCCTTCCCTGGGCCCCCACAGCTGGTAAACTGCCCCGTTGGGAAACTGCTGACGTGGCAGGAAGACTACTCGCAGGCCATTGGTCCACTGGCACGCGTCAGAGCCCACCTGGCATGGGGCAGTTGGAATAGGATGGGTGATGGGATGAGAGCAGTGAATGGGCGGCACGGTCACGGGCGGCAGGATGAAAGGACAGCAGGGTTAATGACTGCGAGTAACAGCAGCGACAGTGAGAGCAGAAGTAGCCACTTACTCGCCGTTCCCCATGCTCCCCACACAGCACATCATTGAAGGACTGTTGCTCCGACAGCCGTGAGTGTGCCGCATGCTTGACCACAGCGGTGAGTGAGAGTGACAGCAGCACAGCACAAACTAGGGACAACAGCGGCAGCAGCGGTGACAGCTGAGAAAGTCACTCACCCGTCGCTCCCCGTGCTCCCCACACAGCACATCATAAAAAGAAGGTTGCTCCGACAGCCGAGAATGTGCCGCATGCTTCACCACAGCGGTGAGAGTGAAGGCAGCACAAGTTAGGGAGAACAGAAGTGCGAGTACGAGCAATGACAGCAAACAGAACAAGCCACTCACCCGTCGCTCCCCGTGCTCCCCACACAGCACATCATAAAAAGAAGGTTGCTCCGACAGCCGTGAGTGTGCCGCATGCTTGACCACGGCGGTGAGAGCAGCGATGGTAAGAGGGTCGGGGCGAGCGAGGTAGAAGCCGCTGTTGATGCGCCGGATAGAGTTGGCTGGGAGCGAGGGGTCGGGCTCGTTGCTCTGAAGTGCGAGGAGAGGGGCATAGTGTGCAGGCATAGTGTGCATGGTGGCAGGTAAAAGGCGGTGGTGATAAGGGGAAGTATAAAGGGAGCGCGAGGTAGAAGATGCGGCGGATGGAGTTGGCTGGCAGTGAGGGTTGGGGCCCTTTGCTCTAGAGAGAGGGAGTGCAGCACAGAGGGTGATGCGATTGATCATGGTAGAGAGCGAGGTAGAAGCCACTGCTGATGTGGTGAATGGAGCTGGCTGGGAGCGGGGGGTCAGGCTCATACAATGCACGGCACAACAAGGAGTACAGAGGGATGATAAGGGGTCAAAGGAGGGACAGGGGACATGGTGATTGAACCGATAGAAAGGGCAAGCGGGATCGAAGCAGCCACTGTTGGCTGGATGGCGCCGGGTGGAGTAGACTGGCTGGGAGGGGTTGGGTTACGGGTACAGTGCTTGCCATGGCCTTTGAATATGGCTATGCTTCTGCCACCCCGAATGGTGATTTGGGAAGCACAATTTGGTGATTTTGCCAAGTGCGCCCAAGTGGTGTTAGACCGCAGCACTCGCAGCACCCACAGCACCTGCAGCACAGCAAGGAAGCTGATACACCCCCTGTGCAACAAGCATGTACAGCCCAACCCAACCCCTCGCCTGAATCGCCAGCACCTTCTCCCCGTACTGTCACAGGATAGGCATGGTACTGTCAAGCCACATCACGTCCACATCGCTCCAAAACACAGCATAGCCCAGCCACAGCACGCGCAGCACTGGCAGCACGCGCAGCACATGGAAGCTGAGTCATCCCATATGCATCTCACCTGTATTGCCAGCACCCCCTCTCCATACTGCCACAGCAGCGGCATTGGATTCTCAAACCACACCACGTCCACATCGTTCCACAGCACCGCATAGCCCAACCGCAGCACGCGCAGCACAGCACGGCTCTTGAGCTTCGTGTAGTGCCGGAAGCAATGGCTGTTGAAGGGACACGCCTCTGGGCCTGCTTCATCCGCCCCTGGTCCATGTGACCCGGGTGGTAGCGCCGCTGCTGCTGCAGCAGTGGTGTTGTCGTAGAAAACTGGGAGGGCGTGCAGAAGAGCGATGCGGTAGGCGGTGGGGTCGAGGGCTGCTACTAGTAGGTTGGGTACTGAGAGACGACGTAGCCTGAAGGGGTGGGGAAGGGGAAGAGGGAAAGAGCGGCTCTTGAGCTTGGAGTAGTGCCGGAAGCAGTGGCTGTTGAAGGGGCACGCCTCTGGCCCTGTTCCAACTGCTCCCTCTGCTCCTTGTGCTCCTGGCGGTAACGCTCCTGCTGCTGCTGCTGCAGCGGTAGTGTTGTTGTAGAAGACTGGGAGGGCGTGCAACAGAGCGATGCGGTAGGCGGTGGGGTCAAGAGCTGCTACCAGTAGGTTGGGTACTGAGAGCCTTTGGAGCCTGAGGAGGGGAAGGGAAGGGGAGAGGGAGATGCGAGGAACGATGGAAGAGTAGAAGGTTTGAGATGACCCTAGTCCCTTTTGAGTTCACTCTGAAGTCACCTCACGAGAGAATGACGCACCCACATGCACATGAAAGAATGACGCACCCACATGCACATGAAAGAATGACGCACCCACATGCACATGAAAGAATGACGCACCCACATGCACATGAAAGAATGACGCACCCACATGCAAGCGAAGCTGAGGAGCATGGAGGCATAGTGGTGAGTGGCCGCCACAAGCACTATTGCCTTGTTCCCATCCGCCACCTCCCCCACCACCTCCTCCAACCCCCATGCCCGCACCACCTCCACCTCCCCTTCCTCGCCTTGTCCCCCCTCAGTCCCTCCGTTCCCCCTCTCCCCTTTCTCTCCTCCCTCCTGTCCCTCCCCTCCCACTCTTCTCCTTTCCCTTCCTACTGCTCCTATTGTCCTCGTTCTTGCCAATAGCGAGGTGTTAGGCATGCTTATATCAAGTACAGGGCGAGGAGGGGGAGGCGGAGGGTCAGGGGAGCAGGCGAAGTAGGGGCCAGCGCGGAAGGGGGCGGAGGGGAGGGAGGAGCGGCGGGAGGCGTGGGCGTGCTCGCACGGGCAGATGCCGGGGCGGATGCGACGCATGAGACAAGGGTGCTCGCCTGAGGGTGGGGGAGTAGGGTGGGTGGGTGAGTGGAAAGTCTTCTGAGAAAGCACCTCACACGCACATGGGCGTGCTTGCAGGGGCAGATGCCGGGGCGGATTCGGCGCATTAGACAGGGGTGCTCGCCTGTGCGGGTGGGATGGGATGTGGGGGAAGGCAGGAAGAACGAACAGCCACATCCCATCAAGGGGAGAATGAGCCCCCCTGTGGCGGGCGGTGTGGGCGTGCTCGCAGGGGCAGATGCCAGGGCGGGTGCGACGCATGAGACAGGGGTGCTCGCCTGTGCGGGTGGGATGGGATGTGGGGGAAGGCAAGGGGGAGAATGGCTGAACACCCACACCTCACGCAGACAAAGTAGGGGGCAGCATGGAAGGAGGAGGAGGGGAGGGAGGAGCGGCGGGAGGCATGGGCGTGCTCGCAGGGGCAGATGCCAGGGCGGGTGCGACGCATGAGACAGGGGTGCTCGCCTGTGCGGGTGGGATGGGATGTGGGGGAAGGCAAGGGGGAGAATGGCTGAACACCCACACCTCACGCAGACAAAGTAGGGGGCAGCATGGAAGGAGGAGGAGGGGAGGGAGGAGCGGCGGGAGGCATGGGCGTGCTCGCAGGGGCAGATGCCAGGGCGGGTGCGACGCATGAGACAGGGGTGCTCGCCTGTGCGGGTGGGATGGGATGTGGGGGAAGGCAAGGGGGAGAATGGCTGAACACCCACACCTCACGCAGACAAAGTAGGGGGCAGCATGGAAGGAGGAGGAGGGGAGGGAGGAGCGGCGGGAGGCATGGGCGTGCTCGCAGGGGCAGATGCCAGGGCGGGTGCGACGCATGAGACAGGGGTGCTCGCCTGTGCGGGTGGGATGGGATGTGGGGGAAGGCAAGGGGGAGAATGGCTGAACACCCACACCTCACGCAGACAAAGTAGGGGGCAGCATGGAAGGAGGAGGAGGGGAGGGAGGAGCGGCGGGAGGCATGGGCGTGCTCGCAGGGGCAGATGCCAGGGCGGGTGCGACGCATGAGACAGGGGTGCTCGCCTGTGCGGGTGGGATGGGATGTGGGGGAAGGCAAGGGGGAGAATGGCTGAACACCCACACCTCACGCAGACAAAGTAGGGGGCAGCATGGAAGGAGGAGGAGGGGAGGGAGGAGCGGCGGGAGGCATGGGCGTGCTCGCAGGGGCAGATGCCAGGGCGGGTGCGACGCATGAGACAGGGGTGCTCGCCTGTGCGGGTGGGATGGGATGTGGGGGAAGGCAAGGGGGAGAATGGCTGAACACCCACACCTCACGCAGACAAAGTAGGGGGCAGCATGGAAGGAGGAGGAGGGGAGGGAGGAGCGGCGGGAGGCATGGGCGTGCTCGCAGGGGCAGATGCCAGGGCGGGTGCGACGCATGAGACAGGGGTGCTCGCCTGTGCGGGTGGGATGGGATGTGGGGGAAGGCAAGGGGGAGAATGGCTGAACACCCACACCTCACGCAGACAAAGTAGGGGGCAGCATGGAAGGAGGAGGAGGGGAGGGAGGAGCGGCGGGAGGCATGGGCGTGCTCGCAGGGGCAGATGCCAGGGCGGGTGCGACGCATGAGACAGGGGTGCTCGCCTGTGCGGGTGGGATGGGATGTGGGGGAAGGCAAGGGGGAGAATGGCTGAACACCCACACCTCACGCAGACAAAGTAGGGGGCAGCATGGAAGGAGGAGGAGGGGAGGGAGGAGCGGCGGGAGGCATGGGCGTGCTCGCAGGGGCAGATGCCAGGGCGGGTGCGACGCATGAGACAGGGGTGCTCGCCTGTGCGGGTGGGATGGGATGTGGGGGAAGGCAAGGGGGAGAATGGCTGAACACCCACACCTCACGCAGACAAAGTAGGGGGCAGCATGGAAGGAGGAGGAGGGGAGGGAGGAGCGGCGGGAGGCATGGGCGTGCTCGCAGGGGCAGATGCCAGGGCGGGTGCGACGCATGAGACAGGGGTGCTCGCCTGTGCGGGTGGGATGGGATGTGGGGGAAGGCAAGGGGGAGAATGGCTGAACACCCACACCTCACGCAGACAAAGTAGGGGGCAGCATGGAAGGAGGAGGAGGGGAGGGAGGAGCGGCGGGAGGCATGGGCGTGCTCGCAGGGGCAGATGCCAGGGCGGGTGCGACGCATGAGACAGGGGTGCTCGCCTGTGCGGGTGGGATGGGATGTGGGGGAAGGCAAGGGGGAGAATGGCTGAACACCCACACCTCACGCAGACAAAGTAGGGGGCAGCATGGAAGGAGGAGGAGGGGAGGGAGGAGCGGCGGGAGGCATGGGCGTGCTCGCAGGGGCAGATGCCAGGGCGGGTGCGACGCATGAGACAGGGGTGCTCGCCTGTGCGGGTGGGATGGGATGTGGGGGAAGGCAAGGGGGAGAATGGCTGAACACCCACACCTCACGCAGACAAAGTAGGGGGCAGCATGGAAGGAGGAGGAGGGGAGGGAGGAGCGGCGGGAGGCATGGGCGTGCTCGCAGGGGCAGATGCCAGGGCGGGTGCGACGCATGAGACAGGGGTGCTCGCCTGTGCGGGTGGGATGGGATGTGGGGGAAGGCAAGGGGGAGAATGGCTGAACACCCACACCTCACGCAGACAAAGTAGGGGGCAGCATGGAAGGAGGAGGAGGGGAGGGAGGAGCGGCGGGAGGCATGGGCGTGCTCGCAGGGGCAGATGCCAGGGCGGGTGCGACGCATGAGACAGGGGTGCTCGCCTGTGCGGGTGGGATGGGATGTGGGGGAAGGCAAGGGGGAGAATGGCTGAACACCCACACCTCACGCAGACAAAGTAGGGGGCAGCATGGAAGGAGGAGGAGGGGAGGGAGGAGCGGCGGGAGGCATGGGCGTGCTCGCAGGGGCAGATGCCAGGGCGGGTGCGACGCATGAGACAGGGGTGCTCGCCTGTGCGGGTGGGATGGGATGTGGGGGAAGGCAAGGGGGAGAATGGCTGAACACCCACACCTCACGCAGACAAAGTAGGGGGCAGCATGGAAGGAGGAGGAGGGGAGGGAGGAGCGGCGGGAGGCATGGGCGTGCTCGCAGGGGCAGATGCCAGGGCGGGTGCGACGCATGAGACAGGGGTGCTCGCCTGTGCGGGTGGGATGGGATGTGGGGGAAGGCAAGGGGGAGAATGGCTGAACACCCACACCTCACGCAGACAAAGTAGGGGGCAGCATGGAAGGAGGAGGAGGGGAGGGAGGAGCGGCGGGAGGCATGGGCGTGCTCGCAGGGGCAGATGCCAGGGCGGGTGCGACGCATGAGACAGGGGTGCTCGCCTGTGCGGGTGGGATGGGATGTGGGGGAAGGCAAGGGGGAGAATGGCTGAACACCCACACCTCACGCAGACAAAGTAGGGGGCAGCATGGAAGGAGGAGGAGGGGAGGGAGGAGCGGCGGGAGGCATGGGCGTGCTCGCAGGGGCAGATGCCAGGGCGGGTGCGACGCATGAGACAGGGGTGCTCGCCTGTGCGGGTGGGATGGGATGTGGGGGAAGGCAAGGGGGAGAATGGCTGAACACCCACACCTCACGCAGACAAAGTAGGGGGCAGCATGGAAGGAGGAGGAGGGGAGGGAGGAGCGGCGGGAGGCATGGGCGTGCTCGCAGGGGCAGATGCCAGGGCGGGTGCGACGCATGAGACAGGGGTGCTCGCCTGTGCGGGTGGGATGGGATGTGGGGGAAGGCAAGGGGGAGAATGGCTGAACACCCACACCTCACGCAGACAAAGTAGGGGGCAGCATGGAAGGAGGAGGAGGGGAGGGAGGAGCGGCGGGAGGCATGGGCGTGCTCGCAGGGGCAGATGCCAGGGCGGGTGCGACGCATGAGACAGGGGTGCTCGCCTGTGCGGGTGGGATGGGATGTGGGGGAAGGCAAGGGGGAGAATGGCTGAACACCCACACCTCACGCAGACAAAGTAGGGGGCAGCATGGAAGGAGGAGGAGGGGAGGGAGGAGCGGCGGGAGGCATGGGCGTGCTCGCAGGGGCAGATGCCAGGGCGGGTGCGACGCATGAGACAGGGGTGCTCGCCTGTGCGGGTGGGATGGGATGTGGGGGAAGGCAAGGGGGAGAATGGCTGAACACCCACACCTCACGCAGACAAAGTAGGGGGCAGCATGGAAGGAGGAGGAGGGGAGGGAGGAGCGGCGGGAGGCATGGGCGTGCTCGCAGGGGCAGATGCCAGGGCGGGTGCGACGCATGAGACAGGGGTGCTCGCCTGTGCGGGTGGGATGGGATGTGGGGGAAGGCAAGGGGGAGAATGGCTGAACACCCACACCTCACGCAGACAAAGTAGGGGGCAGCATGGAAGGAGGAGGAGGGGAGGGAGGAGCGGCGGGAGGCATGGGCGTGCTCGCAGGGGCAGATGCCAGGGCGGGTGCGACGCATGAGACAGGGGTGCTCGCCTGTGCGGGTGGGATGGGATGTGGGGGAAGGCAAGGGGGAGAATGGCTGAACACCCACACCTCACGCAGACAAAGTAGGGGGCAGCATGGAAGGAGGAGGAGGGGAGGGAGGAGCGGCGGGAGGCATGGGCGTGCTCGCAGGGGCAGATGCCAGGGCGGGTGCGACGCATGAGACAGGGGTGCTCGCCTGTGCGGGTGGGATGGGATGTGGGGGAAGGCAAGGGGGAGAATGGCTGAACACCCACACCTCACGCAGACAAAGTAGGGGGCAGCATGGAAGGAGGAGGAGGGGAGGGAGGAGCGGCGGGAGGCATGGGCGTGCTCGCAGGGGCAGATGCCAGGGCGGGTGCGACGCATGAGACAGGGGTGCTCGCCTGTGCGGGTGGGATGGGATGTGGGGGAAGGCAAGGGGGAGAATGGCTGAACACCCACACCTCACGCAGACAAAGTAGGGGGCAGCATGGAAGGAGGAGGAGGGGAGGGAGGAGCGGCGGGAGGCATGGGCGTGCTCGCAGGGGCAGATGCCAGGGCGGGTGCGACGCATGAGACAGGGGTGCTCGCCTGTGCGGGTGGGATGGGATGTGGGGGAAGGCAAGGGGGAGAATGGCTGAACACCCACACCTCACGCAGACAAAGTAGGGGGCAGCATGGAAGGAGGAGGAGGGGAGGGAGGAGCGGCGGGAGGCATGGGCGTGCTCGCAGGGGCAGATGCCAGGGCGGGTGCGACGCATGAGACAGGGGTGCTCGCCTGTGCGGGTGGGATGGGATGTGGGGGAAGGCAAGGGGGAGAATGGCTGAACACCCACACCTCACGCAGACAAAGTAGGGGGCAGCATGGAAGGAGGAGGAGGGGAGGGAGGAGCGGCGGGAGGCATGGGCGTGCTCGCAGGGGCAGATGCCAGGGCGGGTGCGACGCATGAGACAGGGGTGCTCGCCTGTGCGGGTGGGATGGGATGTGGGGGAAGGCAAGGGGGAGAATGGCTGAACACCCACACCTCACGCAGACAAAGTAGGGGGCAGCATGGAAGGAGGAGGAGGGGAGGGAGGAGCGGCGGGAGGCATGGGCGTGCTCGCAGGGGCAGATGCCAGGGCGGGTGCGACGCATGAGACAGGGGTGCTCGCCTGTGCGGGTGGGATGGGATGTGGGGGAAGGCAAGGGGGAGAATGGCTGAACACCCACACCTCACGCAGACAAAGTAGGGGGCAGCATGGAAGGAGGAGGAGGGGAGGGAGGAGCGGCGGGAGGCATGGGCGTGCTCGCAGGGGCAGATGCCAGGGCGGGTGCGACGCATGAGACAGGGGTGCTCGCCTGTGCGGGTGGGATGGGATGTGGGGGAAGGCAAGGGGGAGAATGGCTGAACACCCACACCTCACGCAGACAAAGTAGGGGGCAGCATGGAAGGAGGAGGAGGGGAGGGAGGAGCGGCGGGAGGCATGGGCGTGCTCGCAGGGGCAGATGCCAGGGCGGGTGCGACGCATGAGACAGGGGTGCTCGCCTGTGCGGGTGGGATGGGATGTGGGGGAAGGCAAGGGGGAGAATGGCTGAACACCCACACCTCACGCAGACAAAGTAGGGGGCAGCATGGAAGGAGGAGGAGGGGAGGGAGGAGCGGCGGGAGGCATGGGCGTGCTCGCAGGGGCAGATGCCAGGGCGGGTGCGACGCATGAGACAGGGGTGCTCGCCTGTGCGGGTGGGATGGGATGTGGGGGAAGGCAAGGGGGAGAATGGCTGAACACCCACACCTCACGCAGACAAAGTAGGGGGCAGCATGGAAGGAGGAGGAGGGGAGGGAGGAGCGGCGGGAGGCATGGGCGTGCTCGCAGGGGCAGATGCCAGGGCGGGTGCGACGCATGAGACAGGGGTGCTCGCCTGTGCGGGTGGGATGAGAGTGAAGGCAGAGAGATATGGGTGAACAGGCACATCCCAAGTAGGGGAGCACCCTTGTTGCAGCAGGTGTGGGCATGCTCGCAGGGGCAGATGCCGGGGCGGATAAATGCGACGCATGAGACAGGGGTGCTCGCCTGTGTGGGTGAGATGTGGGACGTGAGTGGGTGAACTGAAATTCAGCTGAGAAAGCGCCTCACACACAAAAACGAGCTCACAGAGGCAGATGGAGGGGCGCATGCGGCGCGCATGGCACAGGGGTGCTCGCTTGGGTGGGGGGGTGGAATGTGGGTGGATGCAGAGAGAATGGCTAAACACCCACGTCTCGTTCAAGGAAACACACCCTGCGGAGGGAGGCGTGGGCGTGCTCACAGAGGCAGAAGCCAGGGTGTGGCAGAGGCGTGGGCGGATGTGGCGTATGGCACAGGGGTGCTCGCTTGGGTGGGAAGGGAGCATGGATGCATGCATCCATGCATGCACAGTGGATGGCTGCATCGCATGCGTGTCTTGAGATCTCAGCACCGTTATTCCTCTATCATCTGCCTCTGGGCGATGGAACGCCGTAATTACATAACTGGCCCATGGCAGTGGCACACGAACAGATGCCATCTCACCTCCGGGCCCAAGGCGCATGGGCAGGTGCCATCGCAGATGTGCCACTGACGTCTCAGCCCTCAACACCAAATCATCGTTTGTTCTGCCCTTCTCATGCAGTACCAAGTTTGTTCTGCCGCACGCAGTCACCATCGTTCCCTTCCCTTGCCATCTCACCTCCTGGCCCATGGCGCATGGCCAGGTGCCATCCCACCAAAAATGTGCCACTGCCAGCACCTGATTCCGCAGCATGCAACACCAGAATTCCTGAGTTTTTTTAGAATTTTCACAAAACATACGCTCTATCATCTCACCTTCGGGCCCATGGCACATGGGCAGGTGCCATCGCAGATGTGCCACTGTTGGCTCTCCCCCTATCCTCTCCCACTCCCACGCAATCTCTCCCCCCTCCTCCTCCTCCTGCCCTCTCACCCCCACCCCATTCTCCCCATTAGCCCCTTCCTTCCCCAGTTCCTCCTCCCGTCCCTCCCCCTGTTCCTTCCCCGATTCCCCCACTTCCCCGCGCAGCAGCATCTCATTCACCTGCCCATGCCACGTGGCACCCCGCACAGCTGGCAGCGCCATCCACCTCCCACTCCCCCCCCTCTCCCCCTCCCCTTCCCCACCCACTCCCCTGCCCTGCTCCGCACTCCCCCGCGCCCGCTCGGCTTCTTTCACCGAGTCATACTGAGGGTCAATGCGGATAGCAGAGGCAGCACCCGTGCCATCCACCACATGTGCCAAGTCAGGCTCGATCCCCGCATATTCCCCATGTCCTTCCCATTCCCCATGTCTTTCCAATTCCCCATGTTCCCCATGCAACCCATGCCGCATCGCCTGCTGCGCTCTAAGTCCCCTCCCTCGCCCCACTGCACTCTTCCCCCCCAACCAGTGCCATACCCTATTGTGAGCCCATCTGCCCTCCTTCCCCACCTGCTCCTCTCCGGTCCTCCCCTCTCGTGCCTTCCCTCCCTCTGCTGCTTCCCCCTGCCTCCCCTTGCCGCTACCATTCCCCCCTCCATGGCTCGCCCAAGCCAGCTGTCGAAGCACCCACTGCCATCCCTGCGGGCCCCGCCCATATAGGAAGGGCGGCATCGGCTCAGAAAACAACGAAACCCGCAACCCGTTCCGGTTGAATGCGGACGACGCTCCTACGTTGCTTGCTGCTGCTGCTGTGGTGGTCTCTGCATCTCTACCTGCAGCAGAGGAAGCTTCCCGGAACTGTTTCTGGCTCCACATCACAAACCCGATCGGCCCACCACTGTCCAGCTCAGCATGCCGCCTCAAGAACCTCCGCACCCCCGCCTCGTCCACGCCAGCTGGCGGCTTGTGATTGGCCGGCTGGATTTCCGGGGGAAGGTTGTCGAGAACAAAGGGGAACCATGCAGCGCGCCAGAGAGAAGAGGTGATGATCCATCTAGGAGAGAGAGGGGGCGAGGGAGAGGGAGAAGAGGAGTGGTAGGAGGAGGGAGAGGAGGAGGAGGAGGGAGAGGAGGAGGAGGAGGGAGAGGAGGAGGAGGATTCTGAGGGAGACAACTTTTTAGGAGCCTCAAGAGACAAGGACTCCTTTCTTTTCAGTAGCCTGCCTCTGTGCCTCTTCCCTCCCCCCACTTCCTCCTCCTCCTCTCTCTCCGCCTCCCCCTCCCACCTCCCCACTCCCTGCCAACACCCCCTCCCCCACTTCCTCATCTCCCGCCGCTCCTGCTCCTCCTGCCACGTCAGCCGCGCTACAGCCGCCATCACGTCCCCTAGAAGCACCACGTCAGGGTCTATCACGCCCGCTACATCCGCCCGCCTGTTCCCCATCGCCAGAGCGAACAACGAGTTCATTTTAGTCACACCGTCATAAGTCACATCCACGCCTCCTCCCTGCATTCCCCCTTTCCCCGTTATCCCTCCCCCTCCATCCGCTTCCGCCGATTCCCCTTCCCCCACTTCCTCGTACCCCACTTCCCCCTCCCCTACCCCATTTCCCCCGCGTCTCCCCCGTCTCACTCCCTTCCCTCGGGAACTCCCACTGCCTATAGCGTGCACGTGCCTTGGGAATTGCCTGGCTAGCCAAACCAGCGACGGGTGGGGCCGGGAGTAATTAAGAGGGTGCGAGCCTATTAAGTACACGTGAGGGGTATAGGGAGGCGGCGCGAGGCGCAGCCACGAGAGCACGGCGCGCTTTAAAGCCGTCATGGTCGTGTTGTACCCGATAGGAGCCGTGTACAGCGCGAGCGACGGGAAACGCCGACCCTGGCTTGGTTCGGAAGAACCAGCTCCCGAGCCTGTTGGAGAGGCTCGACCCGAACCCGAACTCGAACGTCCTGGTGCGACATTGTAACTACTATGACTTGTGAGCTTTCTTCGTCCGCCGTTTTCTAGCCGTTGAACTCGAGACAATCCCGAGGCATTCTTGAGAGTTCTCCAGAAGGACTCGTGCGCGATTCGATTCTGAACAATGACTCGGGGTGGACTCTGAAGCAGCTCGGTTCGCGAGTCGACGACAATTTGGTCTACTCCGAGGCGCTCCGGAAGCGTCGCGGGCTTTAATTGGCTGCTGACGTCGACGCGCCAATGGGAGAGGTCCGCGCATTGCGGAAGGCGTGCGACGTGGCAGGCGAGGGTGAGGGCGAGCAGGGAGACGAGCACGTCGCGTGCGGACAGCGACGCGCGGAGAAACTCGATGAACGCGAACAGCTTCATCCGCGACTAACGTGTGCGATAAGAATTGATACGAATGAATCTAAATCGACGATTGTGCCGCCTCTACGCTTTATGAGCGCATTATGTAGCCATTATAAGGTTGCTAGCTTAGGCGCCTATTGTAGAGGCGCCTCAGGAACAGATCACGCTATATGAGCGTATTATGCTACCTGAGACGATATTTGAGGAGCCTCAAAAATCGCCTCAGGAACAGGCCACGCTATATGAGCGTATTATGCTACCTGAGGCGGCTGTATTCCACCTCCACCGCCGCTGCCGCCGCCGCTGCCGCCGCTGCTGCGAGCCAGGCGGTGCATCATTTCACGACTGGCTTTCCTTTCTACAGCATTGGATGCTCAGTGTTTTCTCAGAACAACAGAAATTCTACCGTGATGCTGCGGCTCTGGTCGATAGCTAACAATCAAACCTGCTTCGTGGTGATTGCGAATAGTAGGACGGTCTGCGTGTGGTATGACTGTGCTTGGGGGGAACAAGAGGCGTGGCAGCGGCATACCTGTTACGGTGGGACTCGCTACTTCAAATATTTTTGTAATAGAGCTTCTATTTGGGACTTGTTCTACTCAACAATTTCCCAGTTCACTCCACTACCTCGCTACAAAACTGCCAACTGAACCTACACTCAAACTGAACCTCGCTACTGGTCCATGATTCAAATTTACAAGGGAAAGAATCAAAAGGCAAGGCATGCATAGGAGGACTGACTTCAAATAGAATGAATAAATTAATGAAATGAAATGAAACAAATAATCAGCAAACAAGCTCTGAGAGATCCTTATGGACTCTCCCTTTCTACAGTTTTTGTTCTTACATAATGTACAACACGGGGTATGCTCTTGCCAAAGCACACCCCACATCTGTGGTTCTCCCCTCAGACTCCCCTTACCCAGGAAGTCCCTAATGCAGGGAGCCAATGCTGCCTTATTCAGCCCTTAGCCATGAAATTCTTCTCTCCACCTTCATCCCAGCAGGCACTATGAAGCAACCTCGTAGTGGTGTTGTTCAGCCAGTATCCATCCGCTCCGCTGCTACCGGTACATCACATGTATTTCTGGTTTCAACTGCTTTTCCGTGAAGCTCCTCCTCTCCGAGTCCTCACCTTCCTCCCCGCAAGCCATGTGAAGCAATTCCGTAGTGGCGTTCAGCCAGTATCCTATCCACTGCACTGCTGCATCACATGTATGTCTGGTTTCAACTCATTCGTGTCACAATCCTTAGCGTCACAACGTTTCACGTGCGAGAAGCCAACTTCCACTTTTGAATCCATGGGTGCTCTGAGAGAAACAAGACGAAGTCAAGGATACGAGGAGTGCAGGGCAGGAGAAACAGCAGGATGTAAGTCAAGGCAGGAGAAACAGCAGGATGTAAGTCAAGGCAGGAGAAACAGCAGGATGTAAGTCAAGGCAGGAGAAACAGCAGGATGTAAGTCAAGGCAGGAGAAACAGCAGGATGTAAGTCAAGGCAGGAGAAACAGCAGGATGTAAGTCAAGGCAGGAGAAACAGCAGGATGTAAGTCAAGGCAGGAGAAACAGCAGGATGTAAGTCAAGGCAGGAGAAACAGCAGGATGTAAGTCAAGGCAAACAAGTGTAAGGCGACATCGAGTGAGCGGCATGGTCGAATGCCATGTAACATCGTAACGGGTTACACAACTCACCGAGAATCTCAAGAGCTCCGATCCGCTTGCTTGCATCTTTCACCAGCATGCGAGCAACAAGATCCTTAGCCTCCTCCGACACGCCCTCCCACTTAGCCCCTCTAAACGCCACCTCTTTTTTAAGTATCCTCTCCACCACCGTCCGGCTTTTAGACCCCCAAAACGGGGGCGCGCCGCTAAGTACCACGTAAAGCACCACTCCCGCACTCCATATATCCGCCTCGGGACCGTAGCTCTGCCTGAGCACCTCAGGAGCCATATATTCCGGAGTCCCGACCGCATCGGTTAGCGGCACGCCACGTTGGAAGGATGTAGCCACGCCAAAGTCGATGAGCTTTATATCGGAGTCGGAGGAGAGGCTTGTAAGAAGGATGTTTTCGGGCTTGATGTCGCGGTGCGTGATGCCCCGGCAGTGGCAGTGGAGAAGGGCTTCGATCAGGGCGGCGCACAGGCGGGCGGCGGACGGCTCGGAGAGGCGGCGGAGCGATCTGATTCTGTCGAAGAGATCGCCGCCCGGTAGGAGCTCCGTGACAATGTGCACGTGCTGTGGGGTGGGGAGGAGAGATGGGGGAAGGAGGAGAGATTGGGGGGGGGGGGGGGGGGGAATGAGAGGAGGTGTGAGGAAGAATGAGGGCTTGTGAGGAGCACTGTGACAATGTGCACATGCTGTTGGGTGGGGAGGAAACACAAGGGGATGGCCATGAGTCACGAGTCACGAGACACGAGACACGAGTCATGACTGACCTGGGAGTCCTCAAATGCGTCCTTGATAGTGACAACAGTGGGGTGCCCAGCCAGCAACTCCAAGCAAGCCACCTCCTTCCGCACGTCCTCCGCATCCGCATGCGTCTTGATGCTCGCCTTGTCTATCGTCTTACACGCTAGCTCCTCCCCTGTGCGCTTGCTCAGGCACCGTCTGGTTACCCCAAACTGCCCGGTGCCGAGGGGGGTTCCCTGGTAGTCTATACTGTAGGAGGTGTGTACGTCTGAGTATGTGCGGCGTAGGACAAACTCCGCCGGCCGGAGGCTCCTGAATTCCTGGAAGGAGTCGCCCATCCCGTCCACTGCCACGCTGCCACGTCGCACCCGCGCCTCCCCCTGCTGCTTCTGCTGCCCTTGCTGCCCTTGCCCCTTCCTGCTGCTGCTGCTGCTGCTCCTGCTTCTGCTGGTGCGATTTCTCCAACTTCTCTTCCTCCGGCTGCTGCTGCTGCTGCTTGTCTTGGAGTAGCTTCATCTCCTGCTGAAGCTCCTCCGGCTGCTCTTCTCGCTCCTCCTGCAGCAGCAGCTGTTTTTGGTTCAGCTGCTTCAGCTGGTCATGATAACACACAACACCAGCAGCACCAGCAGCAGCACCAGCAGCAGCACCACCACCACCAGCAGCAGCAGCAGCAGCAGCAGCAGCAGCATCAACACTGGCTGAACCAGCAACGCCACGTGGCTTTGTCCCGTCAGAGGGCGCACAGAGGGCAAGGAGGGAGAGCGAGCGGGCGTCCATGCTGTGGGAGAGAGGGGTGCGCATGCGCAGGCGCGGCAGTGATGGGAACCCTGCTGCCTTCACACCGCTGCTGCTGCTTGTGGTGGTGATGGCGGTGGTGGTAGCGGCTGTTGCTGCTGCTGCTGCTGCTGTTGTTGTTGCTTGTGGTCGTGTGACCGTTACGGTTACCACATTCTTCCTTGCTGCTGCTGCTTCTGCTCAGGTGACTACGCGCCGAGCCTGACCCCGTGCCTTGTGCCGAACCAGACCGTTCGGTTCGTTCCCTCCAGCTCTTTGCCAGACCCAAACCTGCTGCCAGGGGTGATTTCCCAGCAACCGGGACCGAGCCTTCTGCCGAAGCAGAGGTGGAGACTCGGCGAGCGAGGGACGGAGCTGGAGATCCCAAGGGAGAGGAGAGGGGAGCAGGGAGGGTGGAGCAGGAGGAGGAGAGGGGGGAGGGGAGGGGAGGGCGAGGAGGGGTGGTGGTGGGAGAGAAGAGCGAGTGAGGATGGGGGGGAGTGAGTGGGGAGGAGAGAGGGGAGTTTGTGTGGGAATCACGGGTAATGGACCGTAGAGGAGAGCGGGGCGTGGGGAAGCGCGGGAAGTGTGGGGGGAGTGAGGCGTGCGGGGTGAGCGCGGCGAATAGGGCGCGCAGGGCGTGTGGGGGGAGCAAGGCGGGTGGGACGAGCGAGCGGCGAGCTGAGGGGAAAGGTCTGGGTCTGTCCGCAAGAGTGGGGACGGTTGCCCTTGGGACTGGGAAGCCACGGCACGAGACGCAGCGAGCACGGGAGCAGCAGGAACAGCAGTCTGCTGGAACAGCACACTCGCAGCAGGCGCGGGAGAAGAAGGCACGGCAGCAGCAGGCGCGGGTGCAGCAGGCGCGGGTGCAGCAGGCGCGGGTGCAGCAGGCGCGGGTGCAGCAGGCGCGGGTGCAGCAGGCGCGGGCGCAGCAGGCGCGGGTGCAGCAACGCTTTCGTGGCACGATCTCTGCTGCTCGCATGGCGCCGCCTTGGCACGCCCCTCTCGCTGCTGCCCTGCCGCCGCCCTGCTACCGCCCACACCCCGCGTGCCGCTTACACCCCTCATGCCGGCTGCGCCCCTCCCCCTCGCCAGCTCCGAGAGCCCCACGGCGCGGCGCACCTCCGCGCCTCCCGCCTTGCTGCCTCTCCCTCCGCTCTTCGCCTTCCCCCCTGCTTCTGCTCCTCCTCCCCCACCTCCTCCTCCCCCTGCGCCAACTGCCCCTCCGCCTCCCGCTGCTGCTGACGCTGGTCCTGCTGCTGCTGCTGGTGCTGCTGCTGGTGCTGCTGCTGGTGCTGCTGAAGCGGCGGCAGCGCCACCGGGTGCAGCTACCGTTGCGCTTCGCCTTTCCCTCTCGCTGCTCCACGAGGGTGTGGGACGGGCGAGGGATGGTCTAGGGGAGAAGGAGTGGTTGGGAGCGGTGGGAGCGATGGAAGGTTGAAGCGAGGAAGGAGAGGGGAAAGGGTTGGGAGAGGGTGGAGCGGCGGGAGGGTCATAAGGGGAGGGAACGGCGTTGGTGGGATGGCAAGTGGTGTTTGGGGAAGGGGGAGACGGGGGGAATTGAGCGGATGGTCGGAGGAACGACGGCGTGGCAGGGGGAAGGGTGGGGGAAGACGGGCGGAGGAGGGGGGAGGGGGGGCGGAGGGGAAAGGGAGGGGCGCGGAGGAGCGGGGGAGGGGAGAGGAGGGGGGAGGGGGAGGGAGGGTGTGGCGCGTACGAGGTGGGGGAAAGGTGGGGCGACGCAGGAGGCAACGCGGGCGAGACAGGGCGCATTGCGTACGGCGCGGGGGGAGACCGCTGGGGAGCACTAGCGCGCATTTTGGGGGAGACTGGGCGCAGGTGGGGGGAGACTGGGCGCAGATGGGGGGAGACTGGGCGCAGATGAGGGGAGACTGGGCGCATTTGCGGGGAGACTGGGCGCATTTGCGGGGAGACTGGGCGCATTTGCGGGGAGACTGGGCGCATTTGGGGGGTGACTGGGCGCAGGGGGGAGACTGGGCGCATTTGCGGGGAGACTCGGCGCAGGGGGGAGACTCGGCGCAGGGGGGAGACTCGGCGCAGGGGGGAGACTGGGCGCGCTTTGGAAGTCGAGGAGTGGGGGAGCAGAGAGGAAGGGGAAGGCGGAAGCTGACTGCGGGAGAATGGGGGAGGGGAGGCGGGCGGGTTGGAGAAGGAGGGGGAGGCGGGGGGTTGATCGGACGGCGGAGGCTGAGCGCGTGTTGCGGTAAATGGATGGGAGGCGCGCGGAGAGGGCAGTGGCGGAGGTGAGGCGGGCGGGACGGAGGCGGGCGGAGGGGAGGCGGGCGGTTGCGCGCGCGACAGCAGGCTGGGTCGCCTGACGAACGCGGGCCCCTGCGCCGCGCGCGCCCCTCCGCGTATCGGACTGCTGTTGCAACTGTGGCCGCCGCTGCTGCCGCTGATGCTGCCGCTTCCGCTGGTGCTACTGCTGCCGCTGCTGCTGCTGGCGGTGCGGAAAAAGGAGGCGCTGCTGCTGCTGCTGGTACCACTGCAACTGGTGCTGCTTCGAAACAAGGAGATGTTGCCGCTTGCGCTACAGCTGCTTGCGCCTGCGCTGCTTCCATCTCCGCGCCGAGGCGACTTTATAGTCAAATCGAACGGCGCAGGTGAAAGCGGCGCGGGTGAAAGCGGCGCAGGTGAAAGCGAAACGGGAGGGTGCGGTGCAACCGTATTCAGGGGGCTGGCGGAGGGGCCGAGCGGTCGGCGCGCAAGGGGGCTCTTGGCGGAGGCGGAACGGGTACGCGCATGCGCGGGGCTGACGTGCGGGGAGACGGGGGACTGTGCGGAAAGAGGACTGCGCGGGCGGAGGGGCGAGGAGGGCGCGAGCGCGGGCAACGGGCTGCGGAGAGGCATAGGGCTTCGCGGAAGAAACGGGGAGGTGGCTCCGCCAGAATGCGCGGAAGCGCTTTTCCCAAACAGGGGGGAGGAGTTACCGCAACCAGCAACCGGAGAGGCGCTTCCCCCCGTCAAGGCGGAAGCGCTTCCCCCCGACACGGGGGAAAAGCTTCCCCTCGAAAGGGGAGAGCGGCTTCTCCCCGCTAAGGGGGAGACGTTTCTTCCGGGTAACGGGGAGGGGCTTTTGTCGGCTAGCGGCGAGGCGCTCCGCGCGGAGAGTGGGCTGAACGCGGCCGATAGCGGACTCGACACGTGGCACGGGCTGGACGCAGCTGACGTGGCAGCGGAAGAGCAGCACGGGCTGAGCTGGCGCTCGAGCGTCGAGCACGGGGAGATGGCCGCGGGAGGCCCCGTGCAGAGGAGCAACCGCGGGGGGAGGAACGCGCCCGGCTTCCGCCATGCAGCTCCGCCAACTCCGCCTCCGCTTCCGGCGCCGCTGCCGCCGCCGCAACCAACACCACCGCCTTCGCGCGGCCATTCTGCCGCCCCGCCGTCCTCCGCCGCGCGGCGCCAAAAGCCGTCGTCCGCGGACATCCCGCCGCGCCAAGCTGGAGATGTGACGGACTTCTCCGTTCCCGAGCTTGTCCCCGAGCCTCCTGTTACCATACCCTGGAGACAGTTGAGCGGACTCGAAGTGCACATGCTTGTTCCGCGCAACTCCGCCGTCTTTCCCCTTCCGAGTTGAGGAGAAGCGCAATCTGCGCCGACCCGCGCAACCGCCTCCCCTCGCATTCCTTCGGCGCGGGGCGTTTCACGAGGATCGGCAAAAGCGTCTGCGCTCCTACACCAGTCGATATCGAAATCGAACGAATGCGACGGGTTGCGACGTCCGTCGTCCTGCGACTGCGACGGGTTGCGACTGTCGAACGACTGCCGCGATGTGCTGTGTCGCGGCGTCGCAGCAGGACTTACGCGATACCTATCCGCCGATGGGACCGCCGCGCTACTGTTACATTTAACCGAATCGACGTCACCTTGACCGCAGAACGACGGATGCATTACTCCTGACTTGTGACTTTCGGATTCCGCTCCACTGCACGTTACGGATTCTAACGGACGCGCTTGGCGCGGCTCGAAAGCGACGATGGGATCGAAGGGGCGCGAGTTGAAGGGGTGCGGTTCGAGAGGGCGCGGATCCAACCGGCGGTCCGCCATAGCTCCCGCGAACTCGAACCGTCGAGCTGCGTAAGTCGCTTCCATGACCGCGGGCTACTACGAAACAAAAGAGATGTAAGCGTACGAGCAATGCTCGCCGTTGCGCGGCATGGTCGATCGAGTTCCTGACTCCTGACGTCACGCCGCTACATTAATTCTTGACCGGAAAAAAACGTCGCTGTTCTCGCTATTTCGAGACGACGCTTCGAACACGCGATACTACTATCGTATCGTTACAGTAATCGTTCGCGGTAAAAGCGATCTGGAGGTGGAAACAAACTTATTAACGTGATGGCACTATTCCTCTCCCACCGCGTGTGCATCTTTCGCCCCGCCACGAACTCCTTCTGGGCACTAACACGGACGACAATCGCTAAAACGTCACTAGGATTGAAGCCTTGAAAGGCAGAAGAATCGCGACTGTCACTAATCGGCGTTTAGTCCACAGTACAGACAACCATCCGCACCGCCAAAGACAGCCCCACAGACAGACCGACAGCACACAGGCATCGAATCCAACCCTACATTCCATTCACGAGCCATAGGTAAGCTCTCCTCTGGGCGTATGGCGCTTCGCGCAGTAGGTTGCTGCTGCACTTCACATTCACAGCTCAAGGAGTACAGGTGTCACTTGCGACAGCAGCACTTGATGGGTCTCCTTTCTCCCTCTCCCATTCGCGATGAACCAGCTCAAAAGACGGGGATGGACTGGTGCTGCTGCTGACTGGAGATGCCGTGCCATGCCAGTTGCGCGATTCGGAATCTGGAGTTCCCTGAGGCTCTCAGTTCCCTGAGGCGATTGGTTGGTGGACTGGTTGGGTGGCTGACTGGGCTGGCTGGTGCCGAGCCCAGCTGTAGGTGCGACGAATTTTCGGAAAATCGGGCATGGCGTGTCAGCAAATATGTGTAATAGAGCGAGGAGATTGGCAGAGCAATAAATTTGGAGCTGTAAAACGAGCCCCTGAAATGAGGTGGTATGGAAGGGCCGGAAAAGAAGGTTCGGCAAACGAGACAAAGAGTGGATACGATCTCCGAATTTGATCTGTTTCGGCAACAGGTGGTGTCTCGTGAAGGGGGTGGGGAGGGGGTGGGTGGAACAAGTCATGGAGGGTGGTGAGGGTGAGCTGGAGGTAGGGTGGAAGTGGATGGCATGGCAACAGTAGTGTGTGTAAGTTAGTTTTTTTTTTCCGGGTTTGTTCTGTACACCAAGGGAGGAAGGGAGAGAGCAAGAGAAGGGAACGATGGTATGAGAGGGCACCCAGTTTGGTTTTATGAGAGCCGCGCACGTAATGCAACGAGTTTGGTTTTTCAAGGGCTGTCAGGGCGTGGGCCCAATCGGGTTTGATCGCCTAGATCAGCCGCGATCAATAATTTCCAGGAACCCTGGAAGCCATTTTCTGGCAATCGGGGGCAATCAGCTGATCGCGATCAGCTGATCGCCCAAACTCAATCAGAACCGAATTTCACCCCGATCAGATTCGATTTTCCTCGATCACATAAGATCAACTGATCGCTACTGATCGGGGCCACAGCGACGCTTGCGAAATGTTACTATGTATTACAAGGTATCGTCAACCCCTCACGAATTGGTGGAAGATTCCGCAAAGAACAACACGTGCGGAGTGGGATTGGCGATATTACAGGGATACAAATATTTTCGCAAGGTTCCGTCAGCTCGCAATTCTCGCTAAAATTGGGCCGAAAATGCTTGGTAATTGGACACTGCTTGCTGCGCAGCCAACCCGAATGTTCTACGAAAAATTCCGCTAATCGGGCGGCTCGGGCAATGTGATCACAAGCAACCCGATCAGATCCGCCCCGATCAGATTAGTCCCGATCAAACCCGATTGGGCCCACGCCCTCAGTCACAAACATCAAGAGAGCCTTCCATTTTCGGCCATGTGAAGTGCGGGCAAGATACGCCAGTGGGCAGAAGCAAATTTCAGCTGAACTGTACCAGACCCTGCTGTGTGAAGATCGCCTGCCTGAAGTTTTCACGATTCCGTCTATACACCCAGTTTCTTCTTGTGATTCTGTTTTCTAGGAACATCCAAATGTATCTAGGTTTCACGTTAACGGACGCACTACCGCACCCTCTATGGTAACACTTTGTCGGTCAATGCCATATTTCGTATAATGGGTGATTTAGTCATGAAAAACAATACTTGGGACGTGCCCTCGAAAAGTGTACACAATAAAGAGGGTTCGAATCGTAGGCTTCGAGTTTTGTTATGGAGATTTACCCATATTTCTTATGGATATATAGTATAGTATGCGTCTTTTTTCTATATTCACAGCATCCAATTTCTGTATTATATTGGCTTCGGTTATCTTGCAGAATGACTATATTGCTCGTATATATCGCACTGAATGTTTCAGCGAAATCGGGTCGTCGGCTCCGACGACCCTCCCACGACCCGACGACCTGCTGCCCGCGGGCAAGAAAAAACTAAAACTCCATCGGATGGCATGCCATCCTAGGGAGGCATCAAGTCTAAATCCATGCCTCCCGGCATTTAGTGATGATGCCTCCCTGACCGGATGCATGCCCGTCTGGGGTGGTTTTTTTTTTTTTGCCCACGGGCAGCGAGCTCCTTCGGGTGGATTCGCTTGTTCGCTGAGATATACTCGGCTAGAATGAAATGAGTTGTGTCTTTACTGTACGAGGTAATTTCACACCCTCTCTCGAGATCTCTCACGTGGATACCTAAATGTGGTGAAAAACAACTGAGAGAAAAGTGTAATGGTTTAGTCTTGCCACCGAAACTGCTAGTGAGCATTCAGTTTAGATCGTTGTGTGTCAACTGCTATCGGTGCTTTTCAAACCGAGTGTTGTTGCGGGGCTGTGTGGAGTCACTCTCATCTTTACGTGACAATATTTACGTGACTTTTACTGTTGAGTAGTTTTAAGGGCAGGCCAACAAACGCGGCAGCCACGAGGGTGTTCTTTGGCAGAAACTGACTCTTGCCAGCTGGCAATGAATGCAGGAAACGCCAAACACGGGAATTCGATATATCAATCTCGTTTATGTCACTTTAGTGACTATTTTTAATTCAGATCTTAATAGATCTTGTCATGCAATGGGTTCATACTCCATGATTCAATCAATCTAATACATGCAGCACAGCAAAACCATCCACTGTCATAAGCCTCTTTCGGTCAGAGCTTCGTCAATATCATTCAAAAGCCTATCGAACCTAGTGCCACGAACAGCTGAGATCAAAATCGGTCTCGAAGCTCGGACTTGAGCAAAAGCTCCTTTGAGCGTAGAACCTCCACCAAATTCTTCTGAACTTCTTTCAAAACTCCCCATCCAAGAGACAGCATCCCGTTGCCCATGAATTTCCACCTGACCCAACCTATATTCCTCCTCGGCACGTTCCCTCTCAACACACCCATCCTCGTTTTCCTCGTCTCCCTTCTCTTCCTCATCCTCGTTCTCCTCCTCGTCCTCACCATGCTCATCCCCCTCCTCCAGTTGGGAACCAGGCGTACTCCAAGCTTCACTCTGTACACTGCCAGACCCACTTTCCCCTTTCCTTGTGCTCCCACCACCAAGCCTGAGTGTGACAGGAGCGTGCAACTGCCCGCTTCCCTCTCCCATCTGCACTCCTGCACTGTCCTCCTGGAATTCTTGTTGCCGCGCAGGATTTATCAGTAATGGACCATGTTGTGCTTGTAACGGATCCTGGGACTTGGGCAGTGCTACAGCAGGGTGTAGTGTGCTCTTATGCAGATGTGACTCTAAAATGGACGAGCCGGAGAGCAGGGGGTGCGAAGGAGGAAGGAGGTCCACCTGTCAGGAAACGCAGACGATTGGACAAAAGGACAAAGAGGTTGGGAAAGGAGTTGTGTTTTGAGTCAACTCAAAGCCAGAGAGCAGGGGGTGAGAGGGAGGAAGGAGGTCCACCTGTCATGAAACAGTGACAATTGGACAAAAGGACAGAGGTTGGGAAAGGGAGACAAACATGCACATTTATGCGCTGCTGCTGCACTGACACGATGCACTGCACTGACACAAGAACATCCTGAAAGTGGTAAGAACAGATGTTCAAACAAACAAGCAAACAAAACAGGCAGACTTGCCTTGTTCCAAGCTTCAATGATGTGTGGATGAGTGAAGAACCTCCCCTCTTTCCTGTTGCCATAGCCATGCATTCCTGAACCATCCACACCAAAACCACCATGTCCCACACCCATGCTGCTCCCCCCAGCAGCCATGCTGACGTCAGCGGTCATGCCTGGATCCACGGGCACCCCCATCTGCGTCAGCACGTGCATCACTGCCTGCCGCTGCTGATGCATGTCCGGTGCTGACGCGTCCACCACATGCTGACGTGGACAGGTAGACAATAGAGGGCGGGGTGGTGGGATGGGGGTGAGGGGGTAGAGGGGAGGGAGGGGTTGAGAGGTGAGGGGGGACTACAGTGTTGAAAGGGTTTCAAGGAAACAGTTTAACAGCATCAAAAATAGCTATAACCAAAACAGTGAAATACAAAGAAATAGCAGTTTTGATAAACATAAATATTTATGCGCCCCTACCAGCAGCAGGTTTGCCTCAACCACCTCCTCCACCATATCTTTACCACGGCATGGTGCATGTTCCATTTCATGCCAGCATCATACCATACCATGGCATGATATATGTGTCCTTACCAGCAGCTGCTCAGCTTCTACCACCTCCACCTTATCTTTACCACGGCATGGTGCATGTTCCATTTGCAACATCCAAAATGGAAATGCCAGAATCACACCATAGCATTTGCAGCATCCTCCACCATGTTCCATTTCATGCCAGCATCACACCATAGCATTTGCAACATCCTCCACCATGTTCCATTTCATGCCAGCATCACACCATAGCATTTGCAACATCCTCCACCATGTTCCATTTCATGCCAGCATCACACCATAGCATTTGCAACATCCTCCACCATGTTCCATTTCATGCCAGCATCACACCATAGCATGCCATGATACATATGTCCTTACCAGCAGCAGGTCAGCTTCAACCACCTCCTCCAGTGTGGCGTGAAACGCCTCCACCAGCTGATGGGGCAGGTCGGATATGAACCCCACCGTGTCACTCAGAAGCACCCTGCGCCTGGATTAGGAAAGATACAACAATGCACGCATGCACTCATGCGCACACTTTGGGCGATACACGATGTGAATAACTTTTGCATTAGGCAAGATATTAGTGCAGCCTGTACGACTAGCTCCCTGACTGTAGGTGAATGAAAGATGACCGTTGGATCGTGCATGAGATGCAACAGGTACGCACACAACGACATTGTCATTCAGCCCTCATGGCATCTCACCCTCATGGCATCTCACCCTCATAGCATCTCACCCTCATAGCATCTCACCCTCATAGCATCTCACTCTGATGGCAGCTTGACTGCTCTCACTCGAGGATCCAGGGTTGCAAATAACCTGCAAGGATAGCAGAATACCAAACAGCGACAGCAGGGGCAAATCGGAGTGCAAGCAATACTAAATGGGGGGAAAAAAAAACAACAAAAAACAAGCAAACAAACAAACAAACAAACAAACAAACAAACAAACAAACAAACAAACAAACAAACAAACAATTAAACAATTAAACAAACAAACAAACAAACAAACAGACAAACAAATCAGGCCTGCACCGCTGGCGAGGCGGTGAGCGCCTCAAATGTCCTTCCGAAACAAACTTTTAGATGTCTCAGAACTTGATAGGACTGGAGAAAGGTGGGAAGGTACGTTTGTCTCAGAACTTGATTTGTTCTTGCATGCAGCGAAGTCCCTGACAACAAACGTACCCCCCACTCCCCACCTTTCTCCAGTCCTATCCCACGTGTCTTAAATCCCTCATCACCCACCGGTCATCAATGTACTGCGGTGACTGTGAAAGTGCCGTCACCAGCGTTGATTTTCCCTGCACATTGTACGCATGTGCATGGAACAACGATGCACATCGAACGTGCATGAATAAGATATGCAAATGGCATAGCATAGCATAGCATGGCATGGCATGGCATGGCATGGCATGGCATGGCATGAACATGGCATGAACATGCAAAACAGATGATGACATGATAAGCATGCGCTACATGAGCATCGACAAGGATGATGAGTCATGCGAGAGGGTTAAGCGCCTTAGAGTCCCCGGTCTTGAACAGGCTAGCATAGTATATTTGCAGCAGGTATATTTACAGCAGGTATATTTGCAGCAGGTATATTTACAGCAGGTATATTTGCAGCAGGTATATTTACAGCAGGTATATTTGCAGCAGGTATATTTACGACAATTCCTGCTATATTATTACAGCAGCTATTGTTCACAAAATACATTCTGATACCATTCACAACAACTGCATAACGAATCAAACTACACTCACCGCATTGGTATATCCCACCACGGCCACCACTGGCAGCCCTCTCCCCTTCCCTCCCCACCCCTCTGTTCAACACATAATACAAGATACGCACTGTACCGCATGCACTAACCACGAGAAACACTCACCGCGTTGGTATACCCCACCACCGCCACCACCGGCAGCCCTCGCCCCTTCCCCCCGCCCTCCCAGGAGGCTCGTCTGCGGGCCAATCGGTGCAGGCCACGTGTCCTCCTCACTTGTGCTATCTGCTGCTTCAGCTTGTGCTGCTTCTCCGATATGCTGGCATGGGAGGAGGGGGGAGGAGGGGAGGGAGGGATGAAGGGAGGGAGGGAGGGAGGGAGGGAGGGAGGGAGAGGGTGGGAGGGAGGAGGGAGGGGGTGAGAGGGAGGGAGGGAGGGAGGGAGGGAGGGAGGGAGGGAGGGAGGGAAGGGTGAGGGATGGGGCAGCGATGAGTGCGCCTAAAGGGTGGAAAATTCCACAACCCCTCCTCCTCCCTTCCCCCTTTTCTTTCTTCCCCCTCTCACCGTCGTCTCTGCAGCTGCAGCTCGCTCTCCCCTGCTCCAGCCAAAAAGCCCCGCCCGCCTGCCGCCCTCCCTCGCGCACTCACCACCTGCTGCTCCCCTCCCAAGCCAAACCCGAGCCTGCGCCCCCCCGAGCCCCGCTGCCGAACCAGCCGGCTGCGCTGGTACTCCAAACCTGCCATCTCGACCTGAGGTGTGGAATGGAAGTAGAACAAGGGAGCAAACCGGGGAGAAGGGATGGGAGGGTAGACTTCTATTTATATATATATATACATATGTATTTATACTTATTTTTCTTCTTGATAACACGCACTGTGTTGACAATATACATCTCCAGTAACTGAATGAGAGGGCATACTGGCTTAGGGTACCGAACCAGTATATGCAAACTAGGCAAGTAGAAAAGGGTCACCGAGCAACCGACCAGCCCAACCCAGCCAAACCCAACCCTGCCAATCCCAGCCCAGCCCAACCCAAGCCAGTCCACCTGCAGCTTGGCCTCGCGTGTGTTGGCGCGAGCTCCAAAGATGTCAATGATCAGCCCTACTCTGTCAACCACCGGCAGGCCCCATGCCGCCTTTGGAAGGAAGGGGAAGGAGCACAGTGGTAATGGGGTAACGGAAGCATAAAGAAATGGGGAGGATGGGAGGGGAAGGATCAGGTGCTGTGTTGGCGCGAGCTCCAAAGATCTCAAGAAATCAGCCCCACCCGGTCCACCACCGGCAGGCCCCACGCCACCTAGGAGGGAGCAAGGAACGGAAGGAGCAAGGAGGGTGGAGTATGGGGAAAGGAGGGTGGAGTATGGGGAAAGGAGGGTGGAGTATGGGGAAAGGAGGGTGGAGTATGGGGAAAGGAGGGTGGAGTATGGGGAAAGGAGGGTGGAGTATGGGGAAAGGAGGGTGGAGTATGGGGAAAGGAGGGTGGAGTATGGGGAAAGGAGGGTGGAGTATGGGGAAAGGAGGGTGGAGTATGGGGAAAGGAGGGTGGAGTATGGGGAAAGGAGGGTGGAGTATGGGGAAAGGAGGGTGGAGTATGGGGAAAGGAGGGTGGAGTATGGGGAAAGGAGGGTGGAAGGGCGGGAGGATCACAAGTCAATGCGAGCTCCAAAGATCTCAACGATCAGCCCCACTCGGTCCACCACCGGCAGGCCCCACGAAGCCTTGAATAAGGAAAGAGGGGACGGGGAGAAGGGAGGATAGGGTAAGACGGGAAGGAGAAGGGGGGATGGGGGTAAGAGGGGATCGAGAAGGGGGGATGGGGGTAAGAGGGGAAGGAGAAGGGCGGATGGGGGGAAGAGGGGAAGGAGAAGGGGGGATGGGGTAAGAGGGGAAGGAGAATTGGGGATAGGGTAAGAGGGGAAGGAGAAGGGACAAAACGGTTGTGGCGATCACTAAGGCTGCCTCTGTCACTGCACCCTCTACTCTGCCTGCCTGCCCCTCTCCCGCACCCCCCCCTTCGCTCTACTGCACCCAGCAACACAAATCCCCCATCCCCTTCTCACCTCTGGTTGCGTTGCTGCACGCCTGAGAGAGAATTTCCCTGCTCCCCTCGCTCGCCCCTGGTTAGTGAAATCCCTTGCCCCCAAGTGGTGACTATTGAGTCGATTCAAAAGGTGACTTTTGAGTTGACTCGAAAGTCACCCCATCCCCTTCTCACCTCTGGTTGCATTGCTGCACTCCTGAGAGAGCAGCATTAACGAATACAGCCTACCCTGCTCCCCTGGTTCGCCCCTGGTTAGTGAAATCCTTTGCCCCCAACCCTCCAACAAATTGGAGCAAGTTACCATGTTATGCGTTCATGAGCATTCAGCGCTACCGGATTTCCTTTTTTAGTGGAGGCATCTGGACACCCTTCTGCTCACCAACACTTCAACCGTAGAAAGGCCCGGATTTGCAAACTTCACTGCTCTTACCACATCATCTCCCCTTGGAACCAATACCACCTGTCCAGCTTCTTCACCTTCCAAGACTCACCCATCTGTACACCTTCGTGCCTCACGAAAACCATGAGCCTTTAGGTGCTGCAAGCGTGACTCAAACACCGTGCTTGAAATCGCTTAATTTGACGATGTCTTGTCCCGAATTTGACACCATGTTCTAGCACCCGAAGGCTCATGGTTTTCGTGAGGCGCGAAGGTGTGTAGATGGGTGAGTCCTAGGAGGTGAGAAAGCTGGACAGGTGGTGTTGGTTTCAACGGGAGGTGATGAACAGAATGGTAAGAGCAGTGAAATTTGTGAATTCAGGCTTTTATACGGTTGAAGTGTTGCTAAGAAGAAGGGTGTGCACACGCCTGTACTGAAAAATATATATATGTATATATATATATATATATATCCGGTAGCTCTGTATTCTGTTTTCTTCCCCCAGCTCTCACCTCCAGATTCCGTTGCTGCACGCCTGAGAGAGCAGCATTTACGAATACTGCCTCCACTGGTACGCCCTGGTTGGTAGGGTGGACGATGAGAAGATACGCACATGGCACATACGCATTCAAGGAGCTTCTTACACAGATGGATAGCACTGGGGGGGAGGGGGGGGGGGAGGGGGGAACAACTCTCTTTCTCAAAAGCGCACGTATGGATAGGTCAATGTGAGGGAGCGAACGTCCATACCCACATGCGCAAGCGAGGGAGCGAACGTCCATACCCACATGCGCAAGCGAGTCTGCATGTTCACATTCACTGCATGTCAATCGATGTAAAGTGCAAGCCATATGACATACCATGGTGTGTGAAGCATGCACATGAGCGGCAATGCTCTCGATGGTTCCACTGCCGAAAAACGACCCTGAAGGTCAGCAATAAGGGACGGGACAGGGTGCGAGACGAGAAGGGTGAGAAGGTGATAACAGTGAGAGGCGAGAAGGGTGAGAAGGTGATAACAGTGAGAGGCGAGAAGGGTGAGAGACGGAATTCAACCACATCCACCATACCTGCGTGTATCCCCTGCCCTCGGCTGTGCACCACCACCCACGGATGCCCCCCTCCCGGCGGCGGGAACCCAAAACCCTCCACCCCATCACCACTCTGCACATTCCTCCCTGCACCCCGCTCCCACCCCTCACTCCGCTCCCACCCCTCACTCCGCCCTCTCCCCTCACTCCGCCCTCTCCCCTCACTCCGCCCTCTCCCCTCACTCCGCCCTCTCCCCTCACTCCGCCCTCTCCCCTCACTCCGCCCTCTCCCCTCACTCCGCCCTCTCCCCTCACTCCGCCCTCTCCCCTCACTCCGCCCTCTCCCCTCACTCCGCCCTCTCCCCTCACTCCGCCCTCTCCCCTCACTCCGCCCTCTCCCCTCAGCCCCAGCCTCTCCCCCTTGCCGCCACTGCTCCCCTTTCCCCTGCCACACTCTCCCTGCTCCACCCTGCTGTGATTCCGCCCCTCTCCCTGCTGCCCCCCACGAGCGCTGCTCCATCTCCCATTGGCTGTCCGTGCCAGTAAGCGAGTCCACCAGTCGCAGTGCCTCCCCCAGCTTGGCGCGCAGCAGCCAGCGCGGATGGGGGCGCGGCTGCACCACCAGCATGCTGGGGAGGGGGGAGGGGGGAGGGGGGAGGGAGAGAGGCAGGAAACAGAGGTGAGCGCAGTGGGTGGGGGGGGGGGGGTTGGGCGTTAACATGTGTGCATGCAGCTTGGCGCGCAGCAGCCAGCGGGGATGGGGGCGCGGGTGCACCACCAGCATGCTGTGTGTGGGGGCGGGGGACAAGGGGGAGGCAGGAAGCAAGGAGCGGAGGTGAGGGGAGAAGGGGGGAAAGGTGGGGGGGGAGCATGTGTGCATGCAGCTTGGCGCGCAGCAGGCAGCGCGGATAGGGGGGCGGCTGCACTACCAGCATGCTAGCGCGGGGGGGGGGGGGGGGGGGGGGGGGGGGGGGGGGGTGGGGTGGGGGAGGAAACGGAAGCGACAAATGTCGTGGTTTCCACAAGAAAACTGGAAACCATTATATCAATATGAAATCAGAGAAAGTGAACGACTAATCACCAAACGAGTTCACGTTCTACCGTGCCCCCTACCGCGTCCCACCATGCCCCCTACCGCGTTCCATGACGGTCTAAATCCGCGTTCACGTCCGCCTCTGCTTCATCCTCTCTACTTCTTTCGTCCCACAATCCATCCTCCATATAAGCCTCTTCATCCGCACCCAATGCCTCCCCACCCTCCCCTCTTGTCGCCCCTGCCGCTGCGCCTTCTCCCCCTACAGACCCACCCTTCCCCCTGCTCCGCCTTCTGCTTCCCCCGCCCTCCTTCCCCCTCCGCGCTGCTGCATGCGCGGGGGGCGGAGTGGCGGGCAGCGGGGAGGGGGAGGTCCATTCGCCGCGGAGAGCAGTGAAGCGCGGAACGAACGCGAGCCCCGCCGATGCGGGGACCGCTGGCGGCGGAATAAAGGTGTGCGGGAACTTCGCAGGGTGGGAGCCGCCACCACCAAGCCACGTGGCAACAGAAAAGGTTAATCTTGGCTGGCCTACGTGTTGTGAGCACCACGTGGCAGCAGATAACTGGCGATAGTCACATGCATAGATGGAACTAGTGCTACAAGTACCACGGATACCGTTACTACTACTAGTGGTTTTGCCACGTATGGCGAGATCTGGATCGGGGATCACCCAGCAGGTCGGCGTGAGGAGGATTTGGCGAGGTTGACAGATCTGATGCTGCTGCCACGTGGCACGAAAGCTGGAAACCGCAGCTGCAGCGGACGAGGTAAGCTCACGCGAACCGCCTCCGTACTGCACGCGACGGGCGACGCGACGCGTAAGAGACGCGACCAATCGCTCGCATCCACGTGTCATGCTGACGAGTTGTGCGTGAAAATCTCAAAGCCTCTGCGTTTTCCCGCCATTCGAGACTGGCACAAGCCGAGCTTCAACTAAGATCGCCTTCCTGGAATGTCCGGACACGGACATCTCCAAAAGCGCATCTCTGTGGGTCCAGCGTGGCACTACCCCACGTGCCAACCGACACAAGAGGGTGCGACCGTTTGGGAAACGCACACATGTCGTGCCCAATCCGATAGACCTTTGCGACTGCATATACGTCCCCAGATCGCAAACAACTTCCCGCCTGTCAGGGCCAACCGTTGACAAATTCGTCTGATCGTGCGAGCTGTTCGAACAGAGGGAACTTGTGAGAAGATGCGACGTCCAGGTTCGCCCACCCCTCACGTCATCCCAAAGCCTTATCCAGATACACGTGCCATGTGCACTTTTCCGTGTCCCCACTTCAGTGTCCGGACACCCCAGGAAGGCGATCTAACTCCTCGACCGTGCCGCTTTACTGCCCCACGACCTAGCTAATTTTGTCAAGCGCGCGGCGGGCTGCGTGCGGAATGTGGTTGGATGAAGTACAGGTTGAAATTTGGCTGCAGAGCGAAGCGTGCTGGTGACGCTAACGGCATCTGCGGTTCTAAAGGGTTCAATCATTTTGTGTGGGGTATGGACGGTCATTTCATGTCAAACAGTCTAGATAATTAATTAGTCATACAAAACGGAATTCCCTTTCCTTGATCAACTGAAATCAGATCTTCCCCTCCATCCACTATCCTCCCTCTTTGCAGACACCTTCCACATGGCTTAAACAGCTTATAAAATATCAAAAAGCATAATTTGTGCTGCCCTTCATCCATTTCAATGGGACCTGGATGAACTAGCAACTTTCTAATGTTCCCTTTTCACTTGTCAATGGACGCCGTTATCCAGCTTCTTTTGAAATGCAGGTTCTGCATCATTATTCCAACTTCTGGACACCCCGCTGCATCCTTATTCTGGCATCTTGATGGAACAGCGGCTATTTTCCACCTGCACATCTGCAGCTGCTCCTCCGCTTATTCTGAAGCCCATGTAATGAAACCTGACCTGGACAGCAACCTCACACACGAGCTTCCAATCAAACACAGGCAGATCATGCCTTGTAGGGACTATTCCCTTGGAGCTAATGCCACCGAATCACCTCTCCCCATCCGCCCTTATCGTACCACATCCCACTCATCCCACCAATTCTCCTCTCCCATCCATCAGTCTGGTAGGGTGGCATCCCCTCACTGTCCTGTACCAGCAGCCTTTCAGCAGAGGTCTGCAGAAACAACCACCACAGCAAGCATCTGAACAATGCTGCACACGAGCTTAGATCACATCCCTTCCAGCAGCCAGTCAGCTACTAGACCTAGGTAACTCCTCAGGCGCCTCAGGAGGAGGTCACTGCACAGGCACAAGCCTCTGAATGATGTTGTATAGAAACTCGGACCACGTGTCTTCCGGGCCTGGCAGGCAGTAGTGCAGGCAGTCGACCTTATCCTTTGCCACCACCCCTCTATGCCCGTCAGGTCTTAAAGCCATCATCGGATCCACATCCATGAATACCCCCCCTGCATCCTCCACTATCTCCCTCACCATCTCGTTCTGCTCCTTGAATTCCCCCCATCTGAATGGCAATGCTGCGCCGTCCTGGCGCTCTGCGATTGGCCGGGTGTGGTTCAGGCAGTTGAGGTGCCCGGGAGGTGTGGTGCGGTAGATGAGAAGCTTGTCAGGGTGATTATGGCGAAGGAATCTGAAGATTCTTCTGACTGCCTTCACAACCTTCACTGCTGGCTTGTAGTGCGCGCCCCGATTCATAATAAGCACATGGGAGTTTCTGATTCCTGGAACCTGTTGCCATGGCACGTGGAGCCATGCTGCCCGTTCTAGCTTCTCCTCCTGTACACGCATCAGCCGAGTTGTCGCCACATAATGTATCTCCAATTTCGGGCACCCCTCAATTCGGTAACCAGCGCATGTAACCGTTACCGTGTCGTCGATCCACTCCAGGCATTTCTGCTTCACTATCGTCCCCACTGCCGGCTTCGGGATATGCTTAATGATGTTATTCATAAACGAGTAGTGGTGCTCGCGCGTTAGCGAATCCCCGATAAAGGCAATCCGCAAACCATCCTTCCGCCGCGCGGCCAACTCACAAAGCGCGCGCCCATCGAATCTCGAAAACATCTCCCCCTGCACGCCCTCCCTCCCCACCACCGCCTGCCTTCCCCCGATAACTCCAGGACACTTTTCCCGAGGCACCACCCATTGGTACTTCAGAGTTTCTCGAACCTTCCATGCCGCGGCAGCAGCAGCGGGATCCCATCCCGCGGTTGCGATCTTATCTGCGTAGACTCCCGCCACTCCGCCTTGCTTCATGTGCCGGTTGTCACAGCTCTGCACCTGTTTCTCCTCCCACGGTAGAACCCTAGGCGTTGCGTTGTACCGCCACTCGCCGCGCTCCGCCACGCAGCTCATCCACTGCCTGAACGCTGCCGCATCGCCTGTTCCGGGCCTGAGCCTCGAGCCTGGGATCCTGCTTCGGAAGTCGCCGAGGCTGGCCGGCTCGTCCGGTGGAAAGGAGACGGGTGGTAACCCGGTGAACGCGTGGAGTGTAGGGTTGTTACGGATCATCGCAGTGACTGTACCGTACACCTCGTCCACGTGGCAGTGCTCCTGAGAGTGCCAGTTCACCTTAGTCGGATCACAGGCTGAGAGAAAATGATGGATGCCGAGGCGGGAAGCGAGGTGGAAGTGCCACGTGGCAGCCCGCTGTTGGCCGATGACAGGGATGTTAGCAGCGGCCATGGCTACGGTGCGAGGGAGGATTTCGATCAGCGTGGAGTTAAACGGCATAAAAATCAGATTTGAAAGCGCAGGCGACGTGGGACCGACGAACAGAATCGCGCGGGAGAAGAGCTCCTTAGCTTGAATTAGCGGCACGTGCTCGTCGTATACCACCACGCGCGCCTCGCCAAAAAGCTCCCGCATCATTACAATCACACGGTTCATCGCATCAGCCGCCTCCTTGTAATCACCCTCCACGCCCTCCCTTCCGCCTGGTCCTCCTTCCGCGAGCCCCCCCTCCCCCAATCCGATATCTTCCCCCCCAGCCACCCCCTGCCCCTCCCTTCCCCCATGCGCACTCCAAACCAGCGACACCACCACCACCCAATCCCGACGCAAAGCCTCCCCAACCACCATGTGCGCCCGAACCTGATGATTAAGTTGCTGGTTCGGCAGCCGAGGCACCCAGTTCGGGTTGAGGATCGGCAGACCATTGGGGGGGAGGAGGTGGTGCGCGCGGAGGGTGCGCCAGAGCGGATCGGGGGAGCGGGGGCGGGGGGAAGCGGCGAATCCGCAAAGAGAGTCCGGATGTAGCGGGACGTAGAGCTTCTTCGCGAAGAACAGGTGTGGACGCACTGCGGCCGCCCCTCGTGCTGACGTGGAATATGCTGACGTGGCGTCCAGAGGGATAGAGAGCGCGGCGAGATCCACTCCGAACAGCCCAGTGCGCACGTGGTGCAGCAACTGGGGGAAGAGAGCGGGCATTCCAGGGCAAAAACAAGGGGGAGGGGAAAAACAGGGGGGATGGGGAGTAGAAAAAGAGGGGGGAGAGGGGAATGAGAGGAGAGACAACAGTGAGGAGGAGTAAATAGCGATGCAATCGTGCTGCCAGAAGCATGCGGTCCTTGACGATACGATCCGGTTCTACTGGGGACTCGTATCCGCGTATATTTAGCTTAGTCTCACCCGTCGATCGCGCAGCAGCAGCGGGTATCGGCGCGCAGTGGGCATGAGCGACGACGACACCAGGAACAGCACCGGCAACAGACGCGCCAGCTGCCGCTCCTTAGCGCTTCCGCCCAGCGCGAGCACCTGTTCCGCCCACGCGCTTGCTCCACTTCCGCTTCCCCCTTCCGCCTGAGCCAAATCCCCCGCTTCCGCCGCCAGCTCCGCCCACCCATCGGCCTCCTCATAAGGAAGTAAATTAATTAAATGCTCGTGGACGCTAGTAATGGTTCCTGCAGGGTACGACATCTCTGCTATAGCCTGCTTATCGGTCCGCGTTTTCCACTCCCCGGCGCCAGCGCCGCCGCTGCATGCGCTGAACTCGAACACGTGGCTCGCGTTGAACACGGCGCCCCTCCCGTTAACGAAGACGTCGCGAAATAAAAGAATAGCACTTTTACCCGTCTCGTCTGTTACACTTGGGGGAACTTCGTCGTCAATCTTTTCCTCGAAGCCACCGTTTTCACCCTCCCCCTCGCAGACGTCGCCCACATGTAACAATGGCCAGGGCCATAGCCACGGCCGCTGGCGACATTGCGTTCGCGACTGTAACATTTCGCCTTCGCGGAACCGCGAGGCGAAGGTTGCGAGGTCATTTGCGACGGAAAGCGTACCCTCTCTAGCCTGCGCAGGTGCCGTCCATTTGCACGCCGAGACTTCGCTCAGGGCCCCCGAACCTGGCTGGAAGGTCGGGCATACGGTCATTGCCGAGCCTGGCGGTTGGGTTCGGCCCTGCGGTTCGAAAAGCGAGTGAACGAGCACCGATTCAAGGGAGACGCCTGCCAGGGGAGCTTGCAACTGCGTCACGGCCTCCGCGCCTTCCCGCCTTTCACGCTGTGCGTCATCTGATGCCTCGGGGTTTCCGACTCTGAGAGCGTCTCGCAGTGGTCGTCGTGTTGCGCGAAGCGGGGCGGTAAGGATGGACTGTAGTAGATGCGGTCGACTGTCTCCAGTTATGACGGTCTGACCAGGAAGTACGGACGCTGCGTGCGCGCGATCATGCGAGTTCTGCTCGAATAAGGTGATCGAGAGGAGTAGAAGCGACAAGGTAATTGAGGCTCTCGAGATAAGACGGGCTCTTCTTTGCTGGGTCATGGCTGCTGGCTGGGTGTTGGCTTTTCGTGCATGAAATGCGGCGAAGGCTGTGTGTCTGCTGCTGGGGTCGGAGAAGGGCTGATATGCTGCTTAACTCTAACGAATAAGTTTAAGACCAACAAAGTTGCGTAGGGAAACAAACACAGACAACGCGGACTCACGGGGCGCGACGGACAGTCCTAGCACCAGTCAAAAGTAGTAACTCCCCCAGCAGCAGTCGAGCTCAATGTGGGAGAGATGGTTGTTCTCGAGAATGGTTGTTGTGGTGGGTGAGCGAGGGAACTTTCGAATCGAATGTTGTGCAACCTGGATTTTGCACCACGCGGTGCGTGAACTGGAATTCGAGCACTATGTGCGCCGCGCGGTTGGAGCTCAGTGTGGGTGGCACGAAAAAAACACCTGATTTCACCTGATCGTAAGTGCCACCTCAAAGCACTTACCAGCTCACATTCAGCCAATTTGAGTGGAGGCCAGACAGTGTGTTGAGAGTTTGTGGTGGTGGTCAGGAGGACAGCACTCCATGCGTTTGACATGAAGCGTAGAACACCACACTGTTGCGAGTATGGGGGAAACTGCTCCCACACTCCCCATACTAGCCAACTGGCATCCACTGGTGTGTACCCGGTAAAATCTCTTTTTACAGAAGCTAGAATACTAACATATCTGTAATTGTTAGAACGATTAATCCAATGCTTTAGATAGATACAAAGAAGGGCTTGCATTGAAACACTGACTTATTATGTCCCAATGATTTTAAAAAATGCGAGCATACAAGAGCATGAATTTCGGATTTCTAGATTATGAGTTATTTTTCTACAAAGCAATCTAATCGCTGGAATGTTTATGTCCAAGCCAGCTTGTATTACAACATTTTGAAGTGAGGAAACACGTCCAGTTAGTGTGTTTGGGTGCAGAACAAATGTCAGGTTGACATGACCAGAATTTGGCTTATGCAGAGCGACACAACCAGGGTATTACGAACTCTCTGCCAGCGAGGTGGATGGGGATAAGATAAGTGGGCTTGCGCTTGTGGGATTTGCAGTGCAGGGTGAGTAATATAATATAATCTTTACATTACATCAGTGTCACATAGGTGATTGATCTTGACCATTACAGTAGTAAATAATGTGACTGTACTGCTTCTCCCCCATTAGCATATAGTGCACTAATGCAGTGTTGAAAAGCTTTCTCCAGCTTTTGGCACTTCAGCGTGGCATTCTTCAACCACAGATGATCTGGAGCTGTGCAAATATGCTGAGTTGTGAGTCGATTCGAAAGCCGTAACGGCGTCTGCTGCTGTATTCAGTGTTGAGTCACTTTTTCCAGCTGTTGCCACTCCTGTGTGGCATTCTTCAACCATGGATGACCTGCATAGGAGCAAACATGAAGGAAAGGAAGGGTTCTCTCAGCTGATTTATCAGCCAGAAACATAACGGCAATAAAGCATTGAGCATTCCAACCAAAACACTTGTCCACAACAAAATCAGAACCTAACAACTGCAAGTAAGCAGCAGAGCATCATCATGCGGCTGTTAGGTGCTGCATCATAATGCTTACCTGCATGAACATCATCAGGCATGAAAGCCCTTCATGCATCATCACGAACACGACTGCTTTCATGGTTTGACATTGCTTGCATGCATGATGACGCATAAAGGGCTTTCATGAACGTCATCATGCATGCGATGCAAGCAACGTCAAACCATAAAAGCAGTGGCATCCGTGCAAGCATCGGCACAGCATGGCAGTGCAAACAGCATGGCAGTGCAAACAGCATGGCAGTGCAAACAGCATGGCAGTGCAAACAGCATGGCAGTGCAAACAGCATGGCAGTGCAAACAGCATGGCAGTGCAAACAGCATGGCAGTGCAAACAGCATGGCAGTGCAAACAGCATGGCAGTGCAAACAGCATGGCAGTGCAAACAGCATGGCAGTGCAAACAGCATGGCAGTGCAAACAGCATGGCAGTGCAAACAGCATGGCAGTGCAAACAGCATGGCAGTGCAAACAGCATGGCAGTGCAAACAGCATGGCAGTGCAAACAGCATGGCAGTGCAAACAGCATGGCAGTGCAAACAGCATGGCAGTGCAAACAGCATGGCAGTGCAAACAGCATGGCAGTGCAAACAGCATGGCAGTGCAAACAGCATGGCAGTGCAAACAGCATGGCAGTGCAAACAGCATGGCAGTGCAAACAGCATGGCAGTGCAAACAGCATGGCAGTGCAAACAGCATGGCAGTGCAAACAGCAACACAAAGTTGATAATGTGAGCAGCAACACGTAACAATGAATGCCAACCAGACCATGCACACCTACTATTCTGGAAGCACCCACCCAGTTTATAGCTCCACACTTACCCAACGCCTCACTGCACCGCGCTCCCCCAGCGACCAATACCATAGCACCGCACCGCACCCAATGCATAGCAGCACCGCACTCACCCAATGCCTCCAAAGCCGAGGGCCTTTCTTGTGGGTCCTTCCTCAGCAAGGCTCTCAGCAGGTCCTTAGCCTCCTCCGACACACCCCTCCACAGCCTGCTCTTCAGGGTGAGCTCATTCCGTGCAATACCCTCCTGCATCGTCTTCCCCTTGCCCCTGCTGCTGCCGCCACCCGTGCTTCCAGCTGGCTCTTGGAACTCGTCTCGCAGTGCCGCCCAGGAGGGGAGGGCGCCAGCCAGCATGGCGTGCAGCACGACGCCGGCGCTCCAGACGTCTGCCTTGGCGTTGTAGGTTGCTTTCATGGCCACCTCTGGTGCCATGTACTCGGATGTGCCTGTGCTATCCGTGCATACGCCATCTGAAACCAGGGAATTGGGTGGAGGTCCGGTTGGGAGAGAAGGGCCATACTGAGTACACACAGTGCTGGATCTGAGAAAAGTAGGAACAAGAGCGAGAAAGGAACAAACTAAAAATGCTGACCATTTCGGTCCTTACCCTCATTTAGAAATCCAGCCACTCCAAAGTCACTGAGCTTGATCCTCAGGTCCCCATCGCGCGTTTGATGAGGCACCCGGTCGCACAAGAGGATGTTTTCGGGCTTCACGTCGCGGTGAAGCACACCGAGGGAGTGGCAGTGGTGGAGCGCTCCCAGCAGCTGTCTCATCACGGATGCTGCTTGTTGCTCAGTGAGACGACCCTTGGGGGCGCTCTGTATGAAGTCGAAGAGATCTCCGCCGTTACAGAGTTCCATGACGAGATGAACGGCCTGGATGAGAGGGAGAGGAAGGGCCAGCGAAGAGGGGATTGGCAAGGTTGTTTTGGTGCTGGAGTGAAGTGTGTGAAGTGAAAGTTGGTGCTTGTATATCAAACGTGTGAGTGCTGGAACTGTAATTCGAAGGAAACGTTGCAGCGGAAGATGTTTCACATACCTTGTGGTCCTCAAACACTTTGTGGACTTGCACAACTCCGTAGTGTGATTTTAGAAGGTCCATGAGGAGAACCTCTGTGCGCAAATCCGATACCTCACTTTGATTCTGCAAGAACAATGACAAAGAATATAGGGCGAGGTGGAGCATAGTTAGTCATAGGTGACCCATGAGAAAGTACATGATTAAAATTATTACAAGCCCCAGTTTCCTCTTGTATTGCAAGTAATGGGATATTGCTTACCGTGATATTTGATTTGTGAATAGTCTTGCAAGCGAACACTGTTCCAGTGCTCCATTCCAGGCATTTTCTGATTTCGCCACTGCCTCCCTCGCCGATCTTCTCCTTGCTGATGTGGAACTTATCCCTCACGCAACTGTATCGGATGCCCAGAATGCGCTCTCGCAGCTGTAGCTGACGTGGCGAGCATGGCACAGAATCAACTTTTTGGGCGAAGCTGCGTCCAGGTGTGCTGTAGTTGATCGGCTGACGTGGGGAAGGAGCTGGAACTGATGGGACGTCATTGGTTGCTGGCGTGACGGCCCCACCCACTCCAGTTTCCCTGCTGGAGTTCGCATGGACGAGGAGCCTAATGTTTCGCATGGAGGAGGGAGAGGGAGCTCCGCTGCTGCCAAATCCTTCGCGGAAGTTCGTTGAGTGTCGTTCGTCAGCAACTGATGAGATTCCGCTTCGCAATTCCGCAGCAGCCACGAGTTTCTTATTTTCTGTGCTTTCCGTGAAACCATGAGCAGTCGAGGTTAGGTCACACACCCTAAAGTCCCCGCCGATTGACTTCGCGTTTCTGTGAGCGACGCGCACCGCTCCGGTCGCTGCTTCACCGTGCATCGCTGTAGGATATTGGTAGCCTTGCGTAAGTTGGTTCCTGCCATCCTTGAGGGTATGCGAGGCGCTGCTGCTGCTGCTCCTGGGACTCGGTTTGTCGTTACGGGGTTTCTCTCCGCGAGGCGAAACGACACCACCTGGCGACGGAGGCGGCTCTGAAGTTCGCGGACCTCGAACATATTCGAATTCCTGGTTCTGGGCGAGCATGCGGTGCGCATATCTCCGAGGAAAGGGCGACGCCGGCAGCAGAGCAGGAGAACTAGACGTCGAAACGGTATTGGGTGTCCGATCCGACCCGGTATTAGTAGCAGTAGTAGTAGCATCATCATAAAGACTGGCGCGATCCATCCCGGCCAAATCGATGTTTGACGACGAGCGGAAAGGTCGCGCTGATACCCGTCCATTGAGATGGCGCCGCACCGAAATGGCGGAGTGAGGGTGATTCGCAACGGGTCTTGACAGTGGACTTGGGGGGCTGACTGCACCGCCGCCTGAGGCGCCGGCATCTTCGGCGTTCGCGGCGCCGGCGCTTTCAGGCTCAGATTCCGACGAGTCGTCGCCAATAGGCACGAATTCCTGGCTGCTTGGGGGCGACTCGAGGCCCATTCGCGGCGGCGCAGCGCCGCAGGCGCTTCGAGAAGCAGGAATTTTAGTATCGAACTGACGGCAACCGTCGCCGCGGGCGGCGTGACGACCCGTCGTCATCATGATCATGCTGTCAAGCCGCGCCGGAACGGAGGGCGGTCTGACGAGCTGACGCGGTCGCTGCGACTGCCTGAACCCTTGCCCTCTCCAAATACCCGCCGGCGACTTCGGTGGTAGTAGAGTGCTTGGGCTACCACCAGTAGGTGTAGTACATGCAGTAGCAGGAGTTGCTGCTGCCGCCGCTGTGGTTCTGGTATACCGCTGTGGCGCTATAGCGCCAGGAGAAGCAGCAACAGCAGCATAGTTTGGATCATACGGAGATGATAGATTTGGCTGTTCTCCACCGCCATTGGACAGCATTTTACTTCTACCGTAGTAGTGACTACTCGTAGCAGGGATGAGCTCAAGAACGGCATGGCCGCCGCGCGCTTCGATCTCTTGCTGGAGGCGATCGAGCTGGAGAAGCAACTGCGGGTGCTGCCGCCGCGAGTTGAGCGCCAGCCTTCTCGGCTCAGCATGCGTGCTGTCAGGCGGGCCGCTTATGGAAACGCCGCCGTGCGCTGCGCCGGCCTCTGCAGCAGGCATTGCATCGGGGCGCGCCGCGGAAGTACTAGAGGCGGCGGAGTTGACAGCGATATTGCCAGGATGAATGCAGAACGCATCTCTGACGGGTGGAGGGGCTTTGAGCTTGTAATCGTCCGCCATGATCCGTGCGACTGAAAGCATTTCGTCTGACAATCTGCGTGTCTGGCGTTATGTAATGAATTATTCGAAGAACCGATGATAAAGAAATAATCGTGTGGGAGCAACTCGGAAATGGCTGTGAGAGGAAAAGCGAGGCAAGGAACAAGACTGCTTTTGTAACAATTGCTGAGTTGGAGCTTTAATCATGATGGCGGCGACGAACCGACCAATCAAGCCCGCTTGAATGCGCAGTGTCCCCCTAGTCGTGTGCTGCTGTTCATGCTGTACAAGGTCACAAGGGGAGTTGGTGAAGTAGGCGGGAAAGGCAGAAGGGGGGAAGAAAAGGCAACCAAAACAGGGAGACGATGGGGGGCTGAGCAGGAGTGGCGGGGCGCATCCCTTCACCAAATCCTCCGTCCGCTCGCCTTCTGTTGCGAATGTTTTGAAAACTACACTATCCCCTACAGCACAGCTCCTTTCGATTGAGCTGGAATGAAGTGCACCCCATAAAGCCGGGGTGCACCCCCAAAACCCTAGCCTCCGGCTTGGGTGCCTCTGAAATTATCGTTAACAAGCTGTTTGAAACGTTTTGTAATGATTAATGCGAGGTGCCCCAAGATCACAGGGTTTTATGTGGTGGCGAAGCCACCTCGACTAAGAAATCCAAAACGAGTGAGGCATAGTACAGTGCAATCAAATTGTTTGTACAGTAACAAAACGACCAGAAGGTGGGTTGGCTTGGGATTGGCGGATCCCAATGACAGAAAACACCAAAAGGTAGTGTATGGCTGCCATTATCACGAGTGAGACGACGTCTTTGGAACAAGGCCCCTGTTTTGACTGAAATTATATAGGGCTTTTAAAAGAAACTCTGATTTTGACAATGTGATTTCTGGACCAGTCCGTAAAACTAAAGGGTCAGCTCGGATCCCTCCAGGATGTTCTCAAGGGAACCCGTATAGTATTAGCAGCACATAGTCTCCTCGACCTGCCTTGCATTCCTCTCCGTCTCCCTCTAAACACACGTTAGTCGATCTCTTTACCACTCTCTCCAGGTTGGCTTCTAAGTGTCTGATGCCCTGTATGTCGACATGGCTTAAAGTACTCATCTTTTTTTTTCTAAGTCTACAAAAGTCTCTCGCCCCCCTCTAGAGCCACTCCTTTCACCCCTCGTGCAACCCAATACGTATGAGTTTCTCGATCTCCCCCATCCGGCGAAATTCTGGTACAATGCATGTTTTCGGGCCTTTTCTGGCTCGAACCCAGATTAGTCAAGGCTTTTTCCCCGTTGGCTCGGATTTACAGGGTCTTTTTCACAGGGGCCCGGATCGTCCAAGCTAGCAAAAATCCTACCAATAGCCCTGCTTTGGAATCGAGACTCGAGCTCAAATACACTATTTAAACACCAGACCTGGCGGCTTTTGGAGTGAACGGGTCAAGGCGTTTCGCTTACTTCCCCCTCGTCCCCAAGGTTAATTATGTGAGTTTAAATGAAGTACAGTGGAATGGTAACGTTTCATTTTGGTGCATGTGCGATAATTCGCCAGTGAACTGTACGCTCCTCCGGCCGGACCAGACGGGGCCAGACAAACCACAGAACCACAGAGGCGAAGCAGATACACATGCCTCAGAACTCCACTTGCATGAGTGCCAACTTTTGGAAGCGTCAGGCCAGAAGAATCTAATTGTTACACGTGTAATCTCTTACATTTTGACGTCAGATTCTACGTATTGGGCATTTCACAGCAGAGGCGATTAATGGGGTGATCAAAGTGCTGCAAATTTCCGACGTCGAAGTTGTTGGGCGAGGTAGGTGAGCTGAGGGGTGCCGTTTTTGTGATTAAAGTACGCCTAAAAAATTGCTGACGCCACCATCGCCACACGTACGGTATTGAGCGCATCTCTACAGTGATAACGTGACCACAAAAGACAGCGAAACAGTTCGACAAGAATTGTATTCTCGAAAGTGACGAAGCTATAGAATTCGCCTGTGTTTTTTCGCAGTCAATAGACGTACTGTATATGCACACGAAAAATGCCTTGCGATTCCCTATATTCGTCTGAATTCAATTGTTCTACTATTTAGGCCGGCATTTGTCCTGTGTGAAAGTTCGTCGCCGGCATTGTGATCAAAGTGCCGCTTTCGACGTCGATCGACGTCGAGCTCGACGTCTATTGACGTCTGGCCTTCGACGTCGCAGTTCGTCAAACAATACTTTGATCACTCCTTAATTCCCTGTGGCAAATCTTCTTCGTTGAACGAAAACAGTTGAAAATCCCTATACAATCGATTTGCGTTACAGTCATACCAGGTAGACGGGCGGCATGTGCGTGGAACTTGTTTTGGGTATTTCGCTTATCTCACCGTTGTTGCGACGGGAACAAACGGGATTGTAAGGTGAAATTGGAATGAAGTTTGGTGTTGGGTGTTTCTGTTTCTTACCAGGTAAACATTTCTAATGATAGGCAACCGTTATTGTTTATGAACTGTATATGATTTTCTTCTGCATCTTGGTGAGTATAGCACAATGCTCGATCTAGTCACTCACGGGCAAAAACATTCGCGAGTGACTGTTTTTTCGATTGTGCTGACCTTTGGACACGGGATAAGGTGAGAAACGACTGTACGTTAAGGCTGCGTTCCGTTCGCAAATGGGTTGTGCATTAGCCTAACGAGGAATGCTCTAGGAACGCGCCTAAGAAGGCTTGGAACCAGAGCAAATCGTTATTGTGACCCGAGCCGCTAGTGGGGAAGTTGTCCGCGCATTGCCTGTGCGTGCAGCAAAACGCAGAACTGACGGTGCGCTCGGAATATTCCAGGACGTTAATTTCACATGCAAAAGGTCCGCATAGCCTGTCTGAGTCCTATCCGCCCGTCTCACGGTAGATAAGGGCGCACGAGCTGTGCGGGGCAGCGAGAAACGTCCGGAAAAAGGGAAAACTTGGCATGCGGTTTGAAATTAAGGTGCTTGGCCGTTGGATGCAGGTGCCACGCCAATTCGAAACTTTGTGTCGGCCGTTGGTGTAGCCGTCGAGCTCCATTCGTCAACGGCTCCAGCTCCGCGACTGTGCTGTGCAGGTCGACGGACACCTCGTCGACCTGCCCCGCAGAAGTAGGCCATCGGCTCCCTGTCGACGGCATCATCGCAGAAGTGTCTTGCAGCTCGACGAAGCCCATCGAGCTGCCCTCCTACAGCGTACGGTCGGCTGCTTCTCCAGTACACCCGACAAGGACGTCGGCATTGCCCAAGCGAGGGCGGGGCCAACACTCCATTCCCATTAACACTAGCTTGACGCGCTCACGCTTGGCCACCCTACCCATGCGGCAGAAGTCCACGGAGACTCGTCGCTG